ATTCAGGCCTTTATAAGATCAGAGGATTGGCCCTGTCACAGTTAGAATACCAGATCCCTAACTGGAGAGTAAGTCAACTTATATTGGGGGTACTAGAACCCTGCTGGTAACGATGACAAGATAATCCAGAATCACAGGGGAACTAAAGACTGGGGATCATAAAGGTACCCTAGTACAAACAGCTTTACGACAGGGAATTATGATGGAAAGTTAGCAGTTTATAGCTAATGATAGTAAGCAGTGACCTCAGCTTCTAATCTTTTCTTTTTTCCCCCAAAATTTGTGAATTGCTGAGAAGAAATACAGCTCAGTGGTGAATCATTTTTGTTATATTTATTGTTAATAGTGGTTATAGATATACTTTGACCTTATATAGTCGACTGTACATATTAAAATAAAACTTATTTGTTTGTTGTACATGCAATGTGCTTTCATTGTAGAATGTCTTTTATTGGCTTGGTTGCACAAAGTGCAAATCCGGGTTATAGTATAATGAATGTCGGGCGGGCAGGCAGGTGGGAAAAGGGCTACCAGTTTTGTAGAATCAACTCCTCCTAGAGTTTATGATGTAGAAGCTTGAAACTTTGTAGGATGTTTATATATATATATATATATATATATATATGTTAAAGATGTGCACCTCCTATAATGGATTCATTCTGGACATTTTTCTGGATTTTTTGTTGTACTTTGAAACTTAGTTATTTTCCACAGTTTGGCAGGGAAAAGGGCTACCAGTTTTGTAGAATCAACTCCTCCTAGAAATTTTGATGTAGAAGCTTGAAACTTTGTAGGATGTTTATATATATGTTGAAGATGTGCACCTATGAATTTAGTATTCATTCCGGATGTTTTTTCTTGATTTTCCGAGCTTTGGAACTTAGTCATTTTCCACAGTCTGGCGTTGAAAATCCAAGATGGCAGCCTTTGCCTCTCATTGGTTGAGATGTTGTTATCACAATTTCTCAGAAACTACTTTAAGAATCTTTCCGAAATTCTACGTATAAATCACATTGAGGCCCTAGATGTCCATTGTCTATTTTTTTAATATCTCCAAATCAAAAATGGCTGCAACTTCTTTCTTCAAATGCCCTTCTTCTGCACCAATTCATAAAATACAACCAAACTTTCTCTCTTATAACAAATATTCTACATACTTGACAAATAAAACGCCCTGTCTTATAAATACCACATAACATTGCACTCATCCCGCAAACTGGCCAATTGTTATTTGAATTGATCCCTTAAAAATGATTTGAAAGATGAAACATTGAGTCTTAGCTCTGATCATTGAAATTAACTTGTGTGTTGATACAAAATGCTGTTTACGTGTTAACACAGCGACACAGACATTTCTATACTGACTCAATGTCAACAGTTTAGTATTGACATTACTCCGACAAGTACATTATAAACATTCTGTCAAATTTCTGACATATTGGAAATAAAATAATTTTATACCATACAATATGAATACATTCTGTCACATTACTGATTTGTTGGAAATAAAATAATTTTATACCATGCAATATGAACACAGGAATGAACCACCTGTCAACAATGAAACCTTGTTCACTAATTACAATCAACATGACTATTATGTGATTGTATTGGTACAATAAACAGTCTATATTACAGCAGGATTAACACAAACAGATCTATCTTCAATATTTCACTATATTTGATATAAAACTTTAGCTTAATGTTTGAATTTCATGCTTTAGTTGTGTTAAGAGATTTTCGTTATTGGTTTGTAATTATAGCAGCATTACATCCTGTACATCACACAGGTTATCACACAATAACACAGCAGCATTACATCCTGTACATCACACAATAACACAGCAGCATTACATCCTGTGCATCACACAGGTTATCACACAACAGCAGCATTACATCCTGTACATCACACAATAACAAGCAGCATTACATCCTGTACATCACACAGGTTATCACACAATAACACAGCAGCATTGCATCCTGTACATAACACAGGTTATCACACAATAACACAGCAGCTACATCCTGTACATCACACAGGTTATCACACAATAACACAGCAGCTACATCCTGTACATCACACAATAACACAGCAGCATTACATCCTGTACATCACAAAGGTTATCACACAATAACACAGCAGCATTGCATCCTGTACATAACACAGGTTATCACACAATAACACAGCAGCTACATCCTGTACATCACACAGGTTATCACACAATAACACAGCAGCTACATCCTGTACATCACACAATAACACAGCAGCATTACATCCTGTACATCACACAATAACACAGCAGCATTACATCCTATACATTACACAATAACACAGCAGCTACATCCTGTACATCACACAATAACACAGCAGCATTACATCCTGTACATCACACAATAACACAGCAGCATTACATCCTGTACATCACACAGGTTATCACACAATAACATAGCATAGACATTACATAAAACTGGTGTTTATGTTCTCTTTGGCCAGTCTCTAGTATTCCCTGCAAATGTATAACACCAAAATCTGCAATTTAACATTCTTCATTTAGTATATGAAAAAAGTATCCAGGTTTTTAAAAGCATAATCAAATGTATATGTCAGGTTTTATTTGAAATGAAACAAAACTTGTTTGGTAAAATCACAGAAAATGAAATTGATTTAGAAAACCATATATGAAGATTGAAGCTGTATTACATTGTATCTATTGCTTTAAGTGAATGATATTTACATATGTACAGAACATGTACTGTATTTACTCTATATTCTTGACAGAGCAACAATATCAGCCCTAAGTACCACATTTTTTCTACATTTGACAATTCTAATTGTTGCTGTCACTTTTGACTAATTGACAATAACTATAAGAAAATGACAAAAAAATTGCCAGTTAACATTGTGGCTTGTTGACAAGTTATTGTGTTAACTCTCTAGGTATTGTCAGATGTTATTAACTCCTCATTACTCAACCATTGGTTCAATACAAACCGATATTTGTATGAGAAAATTCTGAGGAATTTGTTTGAAATTTGATACCTACAAATGGATTACTATCAGATTTACGATGTTTTGTTTGCATGGATGAATTGACCTTACTTAGGTGTTAAAAACACTACACAGGTACACCCTTGCCTGTTGTTTCATTTTAAATGTGTATTTTATACTTAGAGTAGTATTATAACATGTGCTCTGTGAGGTCACACTTTCAATACTATCAATAGGACTCCAGATATCTCCAGATGTTACTGGCAAGAGCTCTCTGACATTCTATAGATCATATCTACAAAAGCACAAAAAAATATCTTAACTACTAATAGAAGTATCTCGAGGGGTTTAAAAAATGTTGTTGTAACATACAATAATCTCTCTCTCTCTAAAAAAATAAATAAACAAACATTTAATATCTATAGTTTAAGGACATCTGATACATACGACAGAAGTCCAATCATGAGGTGATGACTTCTCTAGATTTTAAATGTGATGTTGTTGTGTATATATATTCTCGGTATATCATCTAGTGAGTAATCTCGACGGTTTGGTCCAATATTGGTACTGGATCCTAACAACCAACAGTACAGACAAGTAAATTGTTCAATTTTTTTAGGCAGATTGTCCCCTTATCAAGATACCAAATGTTACAAAAGTTTAATTACATACATAAAGCAAAGTGAAGTTACAAACTATAATCGAGAACAATACTGTTAAGTGTCCAAATATTCCCTGCGGCCGATGGACGTCAAAGGTTTCTTATTTAGGAGCAAAAAAACATCTGAAGCTGATGTTTCTTGATTTGACAATTTCCCAGGTACTTGTCCAAACTGTCCTTATTACTTCATTGATCATATGTATGTATTTTCCCTATCCTATGGTAATGATGTGTGAAATGTGACTGTGTGCCCATTTCTATATTGATCTTACATACTTTACAAAGGGTACATTTCAATACTATGTAAAAGTGTGTCTCCATGCCCCGAGTCAGCAGACTTATTGGGCTGGATATTCACACACAGGTATTTCACACTATAAGGAGTAAAGAATGAAGTGTACTGTTCGTGAATTATGGAGATGTGTCTACATATTGTTAAATGACAATCGGCCATATTATGGCTTAATCAGATTGTATTGAATCCTGCCTAGTCAAGCATGATATAGGCTTGTTATAGGAAGGACCACCCCCTCAAGTTCAGACAGGTAAACCGCCACTATAGATATGTAAGGCAGGGTATAGCACAAGTAAATATACGTAGACGTGTTATCCCGCTTTAGTACTAGATACATGTCTCACAGAAGTATGTGTACCAATATTTGAGTAACCGTTCATATTTAAAGCCTCAGAACAATAAGGATTATCTCCCTTCACTTCATTCAACACACTTCAATCCCCACATGGGTTTACTGATAAAATTTAGTAAAATTATTTACCTATGTTAATATAATTATATTTTATTATTGTCTTCAATATCAACAGATTAAATTTCAAATGTTTGTAGTTATAAATATTTTGTTCAGAGTGATACAAATTTAATGGGAATTTGAAAGCTAAGCTAAGATCTACATAAACAAATTCTGAAAGCTGTGCTAAGGATTTTGTGATGGAAATTTGATAGCAGTGTTAAATCAGTGTGTTAAAAGTTATATCTAATGAAGAATAAAGTATTATGCTAAAAATGATTGATCTTACCTCCCATCTCATCCAGTGGTGACATTATTTAACACTTCAACTTGCCAATCTTTAAGCTTTTCTTAATGGTTCAAATTTTGGAATATATGCAAGTAAACCAAAATTTTATGGAGGAAAATCATAAGAAAAGAGAACTACTAAAATGTGCTCAGTATTACATTGAAATGGCGAGAGTAGTGGTAAAGTTCAATATGCCTTTTGTGTATGTACATTAAAAAGATTTGCTTACATTATTTTCATGGCTTTGTTATAATGATTTTATATTAGCTGTCTATTGTATGACAGTTAACAGCATTTTTATTTCATGTGTTTCAGGAATACATGGCGAAGGCTCGTGACTTAGAGCGGGAGCTGCGTGCCCTGACCATTGAGAAGACAAGGGCAGATGCCATGATGGAGGTAAGACAGAGGTCCCTGTAGATCTCTGAGTAATATATACTCCTGTAAGTACAGGAAGTTCCCCACCTTCTGTGGTAATCAACTTCCTAACTCAACAATACACACACTTTAAAACTAACAGTCACTTCTTGTCAGACAAAATGATTTAAAAACCAACATTGATCGTAATTGATACCCAACCTATATGCGTGTCAAGATATGAAAGAATTTACTTACAATCAATTTTCTACAGTGGATCATTTGTTCTGTTTCTGTTACCTCATGTTTGGGAGTACAGGTGCCCTGTTTAGTCATGCATCACATGACTTTATACTGTCACCTGATTGGTTAATTCACTGATTTTGTGCATCACTTGTTGCTGTAGATGATCAGACTTGTACTAGAAATGGTATTAGAAAACCCTAAACATTTCTCTGATGAAGGAATATTTACCAGGAACAGTGTTGATGGAATTTTACTAGTTCTAGACATACTGGATTAATGGGAGTCTTGTCAACAGGATTTCTATATGTAGTTATATTTTGTCTGGAGCAGTGATTATACCAGGCAACAATGTGTCTGTTCCTGTAATACCCTTACTGTGATAAGAAATATTTTTCGTTTTGCATATGAAATATTTCGGATATGGAATCAAGTCCGCAATCTGAGTCTCATCAGAAGGATGTAAGGAAATACCAGACTGTGCAGAATATATCAAGGTCAACATTACAACAAAACTCGTTGCAGGGCAGTGGTGCTGGGTCTGACACAAGATCAGATATTTGGTCAGACACCAGATCAGATGTTGGGTCTGATGGGAATCCTAACATCAGATCAGACCAACATAGTGACACGCAGTCCAAGACTCTCGCTAGTTCTAGGTCTGACCAGCTGTTAACAGCCAGTTATAGTTCTATGTCCGACATAGATGGACAACGCAGCACAGATTACAAATCAGTTTCTGTGCCAAATGTTTTCTCAAAATCAGAAGTTGTAGATAATTCTCATCCAGATGGATTATTCCACTCAGATTTTGAATCAAAATGCTTGTCAAACAGGCAGTCCACATCTGCCCATCAGTCCCAATCCCAATCAGACAGACAGTCTCGGGCTGAATTTCAGTCTAAGTCAATGTCTGATAGAAATTCTTGGTCGGGTTATAAATGCAAGTCATTGTCAGATGGCAGTTTACTACAATCTCGGTCAAGTACTGAGTCTCGCTCACAGGCACAATCCAAGTCAATGAGTAAATGTGTAATGATGTCTGATGGACAGGCAAGATCTATGTACACTTCCAGACTTGAAATGCAATCTTTGCATTCCTCTAACATGGTAATTAATTCAGTTGTAAAAAAAAAATCAACTTCTTAATTGGCACTATGTTGAACTGAAATGTCAGTGTATATAAGTATTTGTATATACATTATATTCATCACCTCTTATATATGCTGTGTACAATTGTCATTATTTAGCTATAGGTTATGTATATTTTTCGTGGCAAAAGGTGAAGGTCACAAGTATCTGTACCAGATCATTGTTTACAGAGTAAAAATGATACAATTTTTTTTTTACAAAAAACAAGGTTATTGTTTACAGAACAGTTCCTTTTGTTTCAATGTTGATATGGGATGATGTTAACAAATTCTGTACCCTTTGTTACTACAGGAACTGCAGAACCGCCTCGGAAGACAGGAGGAAAGCAGTAGTGCTCTCAGGGAAGAAAACTCTAACCTCAACCATGATGTCAACCAGCTTATCTCTGTCATCCGCTCTGCCAGGAACACTGGCCGATGGGAGGTAGGTTTTGGATCCACAACATATAGTCATTTTTGTCTCGCTTGCAACAAAAAGCAGTGTCATCAACTTTTCGCTTTAAAGTTGTGCATTTAGGTCAGTTTCTCAAAAAGTTTCATTCCAACTTTAATCCATCTTTATATAATCACATAGTGGACTCCTTAACACATCCATGTCTTCCAGATGTCTTCAAGTATGAACTTTATTTCTCTTTAAGTAAATTAGCCCTACCTAGGTACTTACATAGTGGTGGAAGCAAGACATTTCATAATGTGTAATTTTTATTACACCTCAAGTAATCAGCTTTATAATGTTCAAGAATATATTTTAACCAGAAATAAAGTTATGGGAAATGTTGTACTACAATCAAATTGTTCACCTGTCTGAATCACTTTCTAGGAAACTTGGTACACATGATCTGTACCTAGTTTCCTTGGGTAAATTTCATATGTGGTTTGAGCAATGATAAGTCATTGGTTTGAAATTTTTTTTCTGCTTATGTATAAATATAAACTTTATTTATTTAACAACAATTTTGAAACAAGTTGATATTAATGACTCTTGTTGGTCCGGATGGAAGGGGGCGAGGGGTCTTTCTACTTGATGATGGCAAAGCGATTAATTATTTGTCATTATTATTTATTTATCATCTATTATTATTTGCTTTTCAGACTGAGGCTGTCCGATTTCGAGAACTTTCGCATGATCAAGTGTTTGGTTCACATGTTGAGGCTGCAAGACTGTAAGTGTAATGAGCAAACATGCTAGTGATGTTGATGGGTCACAAACATAGCGATGATAAAGGGTGTCAAACATGCTAGTGATGTTGATGGGTGTCAAACATAGGGATGATAAAGGGTGTCAAACAAACATTCTAGTGATGTTGATGAATATCAAACCAGAGCATAAATTTACGTGTATCTGTTTTACTAGTTGGACCAATGTTGGTTGTTTGTGAAATTAGGAAAAACCTGTAGATCTTATTTTGATTTCTGAGGTGTCTTGAGTATTTGCCTTTCATGGCCAGTATAAATACTTGCAGGCCTGTCCAGATTTATGCCTGAAATGATATAATTTAAGTGCTGCATGAATAAACAGGCTCATCATAGGTGGCCATGTTGTTGGACGATAAACATGGTATTGATGGTGATGGATGGTTCCATGACTATCGAAATGCTAGATCAGCAGATTCTATGCCAGTGGATTGTATATAGACTATATAAGTACATCTGCTTCTGGCCTTTGTTTGTCCTTAGATCTGTATTGACACAGTTATCAGTATTTGTAAATTTTTACATTATTTACTGATTCACATATAAACAATAAATATTTTACAATAGACCTAAGATACTAATATGCTATGTTTATTAGGTAGTGAACTGACACAATAGAGTTATTGTTTGTGTGTTAAGTGATTAGAAAAGGTCCTTGATTCGTCCACATGTGTACAGCAGGCTAGCTATGTTCACAGACATACATTTTGTCAGCTGGCTTGTGTATTGAATGAGAACTCAGCCAGCTTGTCCGGGTGTACATGTTATTATGTTTCACAGAGGTTTTAAGGGGTAATGGTGTGAGACCAGAGATTAATGATAATGACTTCCCTCCCAATACTCTGTCACCGATCAGTCATCAATCAGGGGATTTCTGTGGTAAAAGTTTCAGACATACACACACTCTTCTTGCAGAACCGGTACAATATTCATTGTTCAACAAAGTCTTGGCATACATTATGATAAAATAAATATTAAAGAAAAACCCAAAGGTTTTAGAACCATGCTAATTACCAGTAACTGGATATTTAATTTTGAAACAAAAGCCTGTTATCAGATTTCAGAATCGTATAACTCGCATATCATGTTCACTGCTCAGATCAGCCCAAATTTAAAACCTGTATGCAGTATGCTTTGCTGATCTCCTGGTGCTAGTTACTCCTCTCTGTTCGTGGGAACCTAATATTTATGGATAAAAAACCTGTACCTGTTCCATCAGCCAAATATGTATATCCCACTCGACCAAGGTAAGGATGTTTGGGACTTTACTACTTAGTGTTTCAGACTTCTTCCTCAAGTATTCTTTGTATCTCAATTGGTCTCAGCTTTATTGGTATTTTATGTGAAGAGGAGCAGATATGCAGTAACAATACTTCTCAGAAATATGTGGAATATTTACTATGGACCAATGTAGCTAGCTCCTACCATATCTGTAGAAGCAATATATGTTGTCAGAATGTGTTTCTTTCTTTAAGTCAGTCTGCTCAAATTACTAAAATCATGTCATATCTTTTACTTAGGAATCAGTATATATTCTCTGCTGTCAAGATTCAGTCTAGATCCTCTACTTACAGGATTCAGTCTATATCCTCTACTTACAGGATTCAGTCTATATCGTCTACTTACAGGATTCTGTCTATATCCTCTACTTACAGGATTCAGTCTATATCGTCTACTTACAGGATTCAGTCTATATCCTCTACTTACAGGATTCAGTCTATATCCTCTACTTACAGGATTCAGTCTATATCGTCTACTTACAGGATTCTGTCTATATCCTCTACTTACAGGATTCTGTCTATATCCTCTACTTACAGGATTCAGTCTCTATCCTCTACTTACAGGATTCAGTCTTTATCCTCTACTTACAGGATTCAGTCTATATCCTCTACTTACAGGATTCAGTCTATATCCTCTACTTACAGGATTCAGTCTTTATCCTCTACTTACAGGATTCTGTCTCTATCCTCTACTTACAGGATTCAGTCTTTATCTTCTACTTACAGGATTTAGTCTTTATCCTCTACTTACAGGATTCAGTCTTTATCCTCTACTTACAGGATTCAGTCTTTATCCTCTACTTACAGGATTAAGTCTCTATCCTCTACTTACAGGATTCTGTCTATATCCTCTACTTACAGGATTCAGTCTATATCCTCTACTTACAGGATTCAGTCTTTATCCTCTACTTACAGGATTCTGTCTATATCGTCTACTTACAGGATTCTGTCTATATCCTTTACTTACAGGATTCAGTCTTTATCCTCTACTTACAGGATTCTGTCTATATCGTCTACTTACAGGATTCTGTCTATATCCTTTACTTACAGGATTCAGTCTTTATCCTCTACTTACAGGATTCTGTCTATATTGTCTACTTACAGGATTCTGTCTATATCCTTTACTTACAGGATTCAGTCTATATCGTCTACTTACAGGATTCAGTCTTTATCCTCTACTTACAGGATTCAGTCTATATCCTCTACTTACAGGATTCAGTCTTTATCCTCTACTTACAGGATTCAGTCTTTATCCTCTACTTACAGGATTCTGTCTCTATCCTCTACTTACAGGATTCAGTCTTTATCCTCTACTTACAGGATTTAGTCTCTATCCTCTACTTACAGGATTCAGTCTTTATCCTCTACTTACAGGATTCAGTCTTTATCCTCTACTTACAGGATTAAGTCTCTATCCTCTACTTACAGGATTCTGTCTATATCCTCTACTTACAGGATTCAGTCTATATCCTCTACTTACAGGATTCAGTCTTTATCCTCTACTTACAGGATTCTGTCTCTATCCTCTACTTACAGGATTCAGTCTATATCGTCTACTTACAGGATTCAGTCTTTATCCTCTACTTACAGGATTCAGTCTTTATCCTCTACTTACAGGATTCAGTCTATATCGTCTACTTACAGGATTCAGTCTTTATCCTCTACTTACAGGATTCAGTCTTTATCCTCTACTTACAGGATTCAGTCTCTATCGTCTACTTACAGGATTCAGTCTATATCCTTTAATTACAGGATTCAGTCTCTATCCTCTACTTACAGGATTCAGTCTATATCCTTTACTTACAGGATTCTGTCTATATCCTCTACTTACAGGATTCAGTCTCTATCCTCTACTTACAGGATTCAGTCTCTATCCTCTACTTACAGGATTCAGTCTATATCCTTTACTTACAGGATTCAGTCTTTATCCTCTACTTACAGGATTCAGTCTTTATCCTCTACTTACAGGATTCAGTCTTTATCCTCTGCTTACAGGATTCAGTCCAGGAGGTGTGTCGAGCAACAATTATCTACATTTGTCTGTCATCGTCCCATAACCATAGTGATAGACAGTCAATGTAATGATGATACTATAACTGGTCTCACTATATTGTGTAACAATATCTACAGTAATGTTATACGTAATACAACAAGCCTACAAGGGCATGTCAGGAAATATTGTCTACAATAATGTTGTTTCTGTTACAGAAGAACAGTAGAAGATGCTGAAGAACGATCCAGGGACCTGAGGGATCAACTCCGTCGTAAAGACGAACAGATGGACAAGCTACAGCAGGAGATCAACTTACTCAGGACGCAGACCAGGGTCTCTCGTGAAGAGGTATGTCACAGTAGGACACAGACAAGTGTCTCTGGTGAGACAGATGATCACAGTCGCCAGTAACTAAGGTGTCTGGACTATTGAGGGTCCACTGTATATTTCTGAGGACACAGCTAAGGGTGTTTACCTATAACTTAGATTAATGTGAATATAATTGTGAGCCATGCATAGAGACTTGATTATTAGGGTTGAACCAAAAACATGATACATTGGTGAGAATATACTTATTTATTATGCAATGGAGGCAGATTTTAAGAAATGAAGAAAGATTGTCTTTATAATTGTAAGCTGATTGTCATTTACAGTTACCTGACTATCTTACAATCATAAATCATGTGAATAATTCACTTTTGTGAAGTAAATCTAGAAACTGGCCTGTTACAATTGAAATATGACTCTATTTTAACAGAGACGTATAGATGGACAAGCTGAGTCTCAAACCCCTAATCAATCTGCAGAGAAAGATTTCGCCATCATGCAGCTCAAGAGAGATTTACGACAAGCAGAGCAGCGTATTGAGGACATGCAAATGGAGGTGAGCATTAAGTCTCTAGAGTTATGTGTCAGGGTAGTCTGAAATTAGATTTGATATCCACAGGGTATTAGTACCACAGACTTGATATCCACTTAGTATCAATACCACAGACTTGATATACACATGGTATCAGTACCACAGATTTGATATCCACATAGTATCAATACCACAGATTTGATATCCACATGGTATCAGTACCACAGATTTGATATCCACATGGTATCAGTACCACAGATTTGATATCCACAAGGTATCAGTACCACAGATTTGATATCCACATGGTATCAGTACCACAGACTTGATATCCACATAGTATCAATACCACAGATTTGATATCCACATGGTATCAGTACCACAGATTTTATATCCACATAGTATCAGTACCACAGATTTGATATCCACATGGTATCAGTACCTCAGATTTGATATCAACAAGGTATCAGTACCACAGATTTGATATCCACATGGTATCAGTACCACAGATTTGATATCCACAAGGTATCAGTACCACAGATTTGATATCCACATGGTATCAGTACCACAGACTTGATATCCACATAGTATCAATACCACAGATTTGATATCCACATGGTATCAGTACCACAGATTTGATATCCACATAGTATCAGTACCACAGATTTGATATCCACATGGTATCAGTACCTCAGATTTGATATCAACAAGGTATCAGTACCACAGATTTGATATCCACATGGTATCAGTACCACAGATTTGATATACACATGGTATCAGTACCTCAGATTTGATATCAACAAGGTATCAGTACCACAGATTTGATATCCACATCAGTACCACAGATTTGATATCAACAATGTATCAGTACCACAGATTTGATATCCACATGGTATCAGTACCACAGATTTGATATCAACAATGTATCAGTACCACAGACAAGTTATCTACATGGTATCAGTACCACAGATTTGATATCCACATGGTATCAGTACCACAGATTTGATATCCACAATGTTGTCAGCATCACATAAGATATCAGTTTTCAGGATCACATAAGATATCAGTTATCGTAACTTTAATCTCTTTGCTCTTTGCATGTACAGTAAAACATATATTTGGCAAAGACAAATTGTGAATCATAATCTCAAAAAAAAAAAAAAAACCCACTTTTTTTCTTTATAAGTAAAAGAATGCCATACTTGGAGTATATGATCAACTTTTAGTTTATATTTTGTGACTAAAAGTGTATATCTTTCATGAGATCACTTATAACTAATGATATTCATAGGAAACATTTTGCAGAATTTGTACTGTCTTTTTCAAAACAAACATGAAACAAACAAAATTATCAGCTAGGATTTGAACTCCAAATGGTTTTATTGCTGATGATAAAATCATCTGACTCAGAAGACATTTTCTTATAAACTGACTAAAGATATCTGATGTCTATGAAATTGATTGTTTCTATGCTTTCAAGTAAGATTTTTTGCTTTGTGTAATATAGTACAGTTTTATATGTTGTGGTTGAAGCTTTCATTATCTTGTTTTGCCTGTAGTTAATCACTAGTGTATCACACAACTGCCTCGCAGTGTTTTCTATCTTTAGTATATTACATATCATGTATGTGTCTTATGTTGTGTGTTTCCTGTCATAAAGCTTCAGAGGATCAATTGTATCACAAAACCTAGTGTGGAAGACATTTATCTCTGGTTTAGAATTTCATTACTGATACAGAAAGTTTAGAAAATTAAAATCAAATTACTTCTCAATTATCGAAGTTTGCACATCTTAAAAACCAGGGCAAAATTTAAAAAAAAAAAAAAAGAATTCAAGGAAATTTACATCATTTTAGATCAATGGAGACAAAAGTCTTAGCTTATTACATGCATGAGATTTGTTTTCTCTTCTGAATGTTTACCAAGCTTGGTGAGATTCATTTTTATGTGATAGGATATCAGATGTTTTATAGTTGGTAATAATCTTACTGTCACTAGGACTTACATCCGCTCATTAAAAGGGCTGACCCTCCAGGGGATTGAGGAGGGCTAGCTGGGGCTTAAGTGTTCACTAACTGCTAATTATTACAACTTCGCTCAGCAACTTTGTAGTGAATCTGAGGTTAATGCTGGAAAAAAGCTGCTTGTTCTGTATGGACCATTCATTTGGGTAGTGTATGTCCTACAAACTTCTAAATGTTACTTTCATGCTTCTGTTAACGCATTCATTTCATAGGTGACCCTTAAAGATAGACCAATGGCCCTCTTGTAATATGCAAACCATCGGTAGATATTGAAGAATTTGTATCTGTATTGAAATCTTAACACATTTGATTCTAAGGTCCTTGGCCCTCTTGTTTTTGTAAACTATCAGTAAAAATTGTAGACTTTGTCTCCATAGATTTAATATGTGTACAGCTAATCAACTAGCTGTTAATGTTGGTCTGCAGGGATTTATTGCATATTACAGTATCTTAATTAAAATTATCCATTTCCAAAGATGACTTATTTTTCTTGTTTTGTTTAAGAAATTCCGAATTAGTTTTAATAAGAAAAAAATGAAAGTGAAACATAAAAAAAAAGAAAGAGAAGAAAGGAAATTGAAAATCAAACAAGAAAAAAAGGAGAGAGTGAGAATTTTAACCTGTCATTGATTTTAGTCCGTTTCCCCAAAGATACCCAGATTTATGTTTTGTTTGTAATGTACTATTTGTTGGTTTTACACTCTGGTGTATGAGGTGTTTGTGATGCTTGCTTGTGTTTGCCTACTGTTTGTTGTGTACTATTGTTACACTAGTGTGACTTCTGTTTGCCCATGCCTGCCAGGTTTCCAACAGAGAACGGAAGATTTCGGCCCTCCAAGCACAGCTTTCAGACCTGCACACTCAAATTGGCCGTCGTGAGTCGGAGAACACTACACACCAACAGACCATTAAAATGTTACAGGAAAAGCAGCGCTATTCTGTAGGGGAGGTAATTAGCGATTATATAACTGTCGTTACTAACCTCAGTATACAAACATAAAAATAATTTCAGGCCCAGCTTTATGACATCTCAGACCATACTTAATTCATCCAGTTATATGTATTGCAATATGTTATTCCATCCTAGTGTTTTTAAGAGTGTCTAAGTGGTGTCAGCATGGTACACTATATATTGGGCACATTTACTCTATATATTGGGCACATTTACTCTATATATTGGGCACATTTACTCTATATATTGGGCACATTTACTCTATATATTGGGCACATTTACCCTATATATTGGGCACATTTACTCTATATATTGGGCACATTTACGCTATATATTGGGCACATTTACGCTATATATTGGGCACATTTACGCTATATATTTCGTATATTTACACTAAATCTTCTTTTGCTGGTTTAACTAATTTGTTCACAAACTCTATAAGATTTAAGGGAACAAAAGGGTGGTCAGACAGGGTTCATACCTTGGTTAAACTTTGATAACATTTCACTATTAGGTTTCATACCTTGGTTAAACTCTGATCACATTTCACTATTAGGTTTCATACCTTGGTTAAACTCTGATCACATTTCACTATTAGGTTTCATACCTTGGTTAAACATTTCACTATTAGGTTTCATACCTTGGTTAAACTCTGATCACATTTCACTATTAGGTTTCATACCTTGGTTAAACTCTGATCACATTTCACTATTAGGTTTCATACCTTGGTTAAACTCTGATCACATTTCACTATTAGGTTTCATACCTTGGTTAAACTTTGATAACATTTCACTATTAGGTTTCATACCTTGGTTAAACTCTGATATTATTGCACTGTTTACTTGGATTATGTCTGCTGATATTTATCATTAATTGATGAATGTTGATCATTACATCATAAAATGATTAGTTATAATGGAACAAGAGGGAGTCAATAAAATCAACAGCAAAACCTTCAACTTTATGTGTAAAAGGTATGGCAGGTCTTCCTGTCCAAACCTGTCTACCAATATATACCTAAAACTCCCATGGTATGCATATATGCATGTATACCATCATCACAGCCTTTAAACCTGACACAATGGTTGTATAGGGCAGTGTGTTTCATTGTGTCACCCCACAGGAATGCCATGCTTATAGTTAGATGTGTATCGCTAGTTTATGCTTCACCGACTCTCGTCCACAAAATAATAATGTATCAATAAAGCTTATAACTGCTCGCTTAGTGTTTCCTTCATTAGTCAACCTAAGAACTAAAGGTCATATTAGTTTCACTGTCAAAATTGACCAAAGGAAATTATTTTTGAAAAATATGTTTTGGTTATTCTCTTAGTCAAACCCTATTTATATACACAGACCACCTTTTCATTATTATTTTAAAGAAAGCAAACAAGCAAACATACATACATGCATTCTAGAATAGCTTAGCATAGCAAGATTCTACCCGTAACGTTTTGAACACATTTATTTGCAAAGCAAAATTAGTATACACAATTGCTTAACTTAGCATAGTTTTACCTTTTCATTGAAAACACCATCAAAGCTGATCTTTGAGGAGAGAATTTCCATCTTTTTTTTTTATATGAAGTATTTACCTTAATCTTAAGATGTAATTAAAATGATGTTGAAGAAAGTAAGAGCTATATGTGACTATATAGTGTTACATTGACAGACTGCCAAGGCCGAGGAAGCCATTCGCCAACTGAAGCTAGAGGTATCACATGCCAAGGACTACGCCTCCAAGTCATCCAAGGATGTAAGTATTAAATATTTCATATATTCAAGGTCAAAAAGCTCATTCTTTCAAGGTCAAATATCTCATTCATCCAAAGTCATACATCTTTTCCATCCAAGGTCAGACATCTTACTCATCTAAGGTCAAACATTTCATCCCTCAAAAGTAAAAAAAAATGTAGTCTCTAATCCCTTTATCCAAGAACTCTTGAACTTTGTAAATCTTCTTCATCACTTGTATTTCTGTTTCCTGTGTTAAACCAAATACTTCTAAAAGTGTGGTATAAAACTTGCAGTATTGATAAAAAATTTGTAGTGGATTAAATAAGGTCTTCTACCTTTTCACAGTAACTGATAACGATATACATAGAATACACATTATATTTATAGAAACTCTGCACTGTCCTGTATTAACACAAGAATTTGTTGTCATTCATCAAAGTTGCTTTCTTAAAACTCTCTAGTTTTATTGCATGACTAAAATTATCTGTAAGTTGTAAATATTTTGATGAATGTTGATAAGTCAATATGACTTACAATATTAAATTTGTACAAGTGTGTATTATGAAGTACATTTGTGACACATTATTTGGTATAAGAAAATGAATAGATTTTTTGTCTTCCTGTGTAAACAAGACGGCTCAAAATGTCATTTGATATCTAACGTAATATGCAGGAGACCTTTAATTTCTTTTAATAAGAAGCAGTTTAACTAAACTGTAATCAGATATCATTTAAAAGCCATGGCCACCTTACAAGTTAATCCGCAGACCCAGTTTGTAAATACCGTTATTCAACATTATAATAATTCTATGTCTGACGTAACACTAATCAAAAGAACTTCACACACACATACATTCAAAAACCCATAAACCATTCTGCCTTACCCTGATCTCAACACTTGTGCCTAAGTTAGAACAGAAATGGACAGTTATTGTTCGAAAATCTGGAAATAGTGGATGTAGAGAACCTACTGTAGTTCAGTGGATGTGGAGAATCTACATTGTTCAGTAGATGTGAAGAATCTACATTGTTCAGTAGATGTGAAGAATCTACATTGTTCAGTGGATGTGAAGAATCTACATTGTTCAGTGGATGTGAAGAATCTACATTGTTCAGTAGATGTGAAGAATCTATATTGTTCATTGGATGTGGAGAATGTACATTGTTCAGTGGATGTGGAGAATCTACATTGTTCAGTGGATGTGAAGAATCTACATTGTTCAGTGGATGTGAAGAATCTACATTGTTCAGTAGATGTGAAGAATCTATATTGTTCATTGGATGTGGAGAATGTACATTGTTCAGTGGATGTGGAGAATCTACATTGTTCAGTAGATGTGAAGAATCTACATTGTTCAGTGGATGTGAAGAATCTACATTGTTCAGTGGATGTGAAGAATCTACATTGTTCAGTAGATGTGGAGAATCTATATTGTTCAGTGGATATGGAGAATGTACATTGTTCAGTGGATATGGAGAATCTACATTAGTTCAGTGGATGATAAAAATCCACAATGGTTTAGTGGACATCAAGAACCTGAAGTAGTTCAGTGGACGTGGTAAATTATTGCGATCTTGTGGACATTGAGGATATGCAGCAGCATAGTGAAAATGGTGAACATTTGCTTTTTCAGCAGGTGTGAAGCACCTGCATTATTTCAGTGGAGAATAGAAAATGTATTATTATATTGGATCAATCAAACAATCAATCAGGATTAAATATTGATTTATAGTCTTATCAATATTCAGATGTGTTTTGCAATCCAATATTGAATACTGTGAAGGGATGAAATGCTAGAATTTTAACTGCTGCTCTGCTACATAAACAATGGTCCATTAGTGTCAATAATCAATGTTGTTGGTAGCTGTTTTATTTTGTCACTTGATTACTGGACACGTCCTGGGCCCCGACTGTACCACAGATACTGTCAGGTGCTGTACAGCCAGTATTGATTATTGGTGTCCCTGTTTAGACCTGTTACACTCGTGCCGGGACACTCAGCTGTTATGTTTTACTGACAGGTGTTTAATTTGTGAGGTAAAATTATAACTACTCCAAGGTATGGTGTCTCTTATATTGACCTCAGTACACCTGTCTGTGACTTACATACACACACTCTGTGTGGAGATCAAATACTTCTCCGAAATCTTGTAGAAGTGTCACTTAGATACTGCCAGGTATTGTGTTATATCAGAGTGCTGGATAAGTAACACATCAAAATTATCACTAGATTCTGTTTACAGATACCTACACTTCTTGTGGCTAGTGTGGGAGTCAAGGATGTTTCCAACTTGAGCGGAGATTTATGTGATATGAATGTGGGTGTTCCATCAATTCCAGAGTTCTGGAACCTGATCTACTTTTTATACTGATTAGTCTGATGTTGTAATGCTGTCACATTTCTCTGGATATTTAATACAGTGGAATGGTAGACATCGGAAAACTTTATGTCAGATAGAATGAATTTCTGTGTTCATAATTACCTGAATACAAGACAAACATACCAGTACCATAAAAACTGACATTTAAACTAATTGTGAAGTCAGTTACTTTAATCAGACATTGGAGTACCTCGAGGATTACTGTAACCCCTAATTGTGAAGTCAGTTACTGTAATCAGACATTGGGGTAACTCGAGGATTACTATAACCCCTATGTAGGTTGACATCAGTGCTACACCATGGATCCACGTGACCTAATGCACCAGGATAAGTCTCTGTTTTGGGTATATATACCTACATATGATAAACACTTCATGTTCATAATCAAAGTGCCTGATATTTCCCTTGCCTATTATTTCACTTTTTGAGAATTAGAGATTTAGACTACAAGTTAGGGCTTTACCTGTGGAGAATTAGAGATTTAGACTACAGGTTAGGGCTTTACCTGTGGAGAATTAGAGATTTAGACTACTAGTCAGGGCTGTACCTGTGGAGAATTAGAGATTTAGACTACAAGTTAGGGCTTTACCTGTGGAGAATTAGAGATTTAGACTACTAGTCAGGGCTTTACCTGTGGAGAATTAGAGATTTAGACTACTAGTCAGGGCTTTACCTGTGGAGAATTAGAGATTTAGACTACAGGTTAGGGCTTTACCTGTGGAGAATTAGAGATTTAGACTACAAGTCAGGGCTTTACCTGTGGAGAATTAGAGATTTAGACTACTAGTCAGGGCTTTACTTGTGGAGAATTAGAGATTAAGACTACAAGTTAGGGCTTTACCTGTGGAGAATTAGAGATTTTGACTACAAGTCAGGACTGTACTTGTGGAGAATTAAAGATTGAGACTACTAGTCAGGGCTGTACCTGTTGAGAATGAGAGCTTTTGATTACTAATTAGGGCTTTACCCTTTGAGAATTGGACTTTTAAGCTTCTAGTCAGGACTTTAATAGTTTTACTTAATTCATATCAAGTCAATGAACTTTACACTGATAGGGAAATCTAGTACAAAGGTAAATTTACCATTAAGCATGTGCATTGTACAGTTGAAGTGAAAATACCTGTTTAAAATCCATATCTTATGTAATGCACCTCAACCTAGTGTCATACTTTTTTAAAATGATCATATTAAAGAGTGAGACACCCAGATTTTGGCCCTTTTTTGACACAAATGTTCTTTCAGTCTTGAGAATCAAGAATTCCAAAGTCTACTAGAAAGAGCAACTGAAAATATTTTTTTTTGTCAAGAAATAACAGAAGTTTATCTAAATGAGGTCTGTTAATTCACTTGTACATTCTCTCCCTTAGAACTTGTCAGTTATGTAGCCATTTTATGATAAAGAGAAGATAGATTAAGGTATCTAGTTTACTTTTGTAGTCTTATGATCTATTTATTACTATGATGATGGAATGAGGTCTCAAACATACCAGGTATTACAGGATACAGCAATCATATGTTGGAACCTTGGAATACACATTGTAATATATATATATGATATTATCACTGTTCACCAAGACTTACAATGATTAGATCAGATTCTTCTTAAATATTTTATCAAAAAGAAAACTTTATCTGAAAGTGCAGTCTAATGTTCTTTATCAGTATCACCATCTATATTATATAACAGGTAACAAAGTAAACATGCTTCAGTATCACCATCTATATTATATAACAGGTAACAAAGTAAACATGCTTCAGTATCACCATCTATATTATATAACAGGTAACAAAGTAAACATGCTTCAGTATCACCATCTATATTATATAACAGGTAACAAAGTAAACGTGCTTCAGTATCACCATCTATATTATATAACAGGTAACAAAGTAAACATGCTTCAGTATCACCATCTATATTATATAACAGGTAACAAAGTAAATCAGTATCACCATCTATATTATATAACAGGTAACAAAGTAAACATGCTTCAGTATCACCATCTATATTATATAACAGGTAACAAAGTAAACGTGCTTCAGTATCACCATCTATATTATATAACAGGTAACAAAGTAAACATGCTTCAGTATCACCATCTATATTATATAACAGGTAACAAAGTAAACATGCTTCAGTATCACCATCTATATTATATAACAGGTAACAAAGTAAACGTGCTTCAGTATCACCATCTATATTATATAACAGGTAACAAAGTAAACGTGCTTCAGTATCACCATCTATATTATATAACAGGTAACAAAGTAAACATGCTTCAGTATCACCATCTATATTATATAACAGGTAACAAAGTAAACGTGCTTCAGTATCACCATATATATATATTATATAACAGGTAACAAAGTAAACATGCTTCAGTATCACCATCTATATTATATAACAGGTAACAAAGTAAACATGCTTCAGTATCACCATCTATATTATATAACAGGTAACAAAGTAAACGTGCTTCAGTATCACCATCTATATTATATAACAGGTAACAAAGTAAACATGCTTCAGTATCACCATCTATATTATATAACAGGTAACAAAGTAAACGTGCTTCAGTATCACCATCTATATTATATAACAGGTAACAAAGTAAACGTGCTTCAGTATCACCTCCTGTATTATGTAACAGGTAACAAAGTAAACATGCTTCAGTATCACCACCTGTATTATATAACAGGTAACAAAGTAAACGTGCTTCAGTATTACCATCTATGTTATATAACAGGTAACAAAGTAAACGTGCTTCAGTATCACCACCTATATTTTATATCCACCATGATCAGATGGAATGGTAGAACTGTTTTGTATGAAGGCCAGTATCTCTGTTATAATTAATAATTATAATAATATAATCGCATGCTCCATTCCCTCCACTATAGATTGGACATTACGAACGGAAACTGAGGAACCAAGAACATGACTTACAAGAGCTTCGTGACCAGAGGAAGAAGTCTATGGAGGAGGTAAGATAATGACCAGTCTGTACAACTTCTATTTTGGGAGATCTATGGGAACATACAATATTACCTGGAGCTTATGATATCAGATGCTTTGTGACCAAATGCATTTCTATTTCTTACTCAGTAACATACTGATATATTCACTCTCATTCATTTCAGCTATCACATTAAAGAGAAATACCATAAAAAACTTATTTTGGCATAATTTGACACCAATAAGATCATAATACCCCCTCTCATATCTTTGGACGAAGATTTACAGCTCTGTGATAACCTTGAAAATTAGATTCTGATCAAATTATCAAATGATGTTGTAACATCAAATTTAATCCTCAATTGTAAGATTCTGATGTGTTGCAATAGAGAACACAGTTATAACTGAAAAAGCCTGAGTAAGGAGAATCTGTATTAGATAGGTATTACTGTTTTACATATAATAAATGTATGTTCTGTTTGTAGATTGGAGTCCTTCAAGAGAGACTTCGAGACAGTCAGGTGTCAACCAAAGACCACCACGAGGTCCTCAAATCAGAGCTCGCCCGTCGTGACGAGACGATCCAGAAACTTCGCAGGGATGTTTTGACATTACAGGAGAAACGTGACGCAGCTGTTAGTGAGGTATAAAAAGCTGTCTAATATTACTACTGCTGTATATGCTATGTAACCTTGTGACAGTCAAATTGTGTAGCTTGGAGAAGTACTATGTTTATTGTGACTTGTTTACTTTGGAAAATGTGGATGTTTCATTTGAATTATATTTACATAACTAACTGCTCTGCTTTATCTGATATGCTAGGAGAGACAACTATTATTACAGCTAGATATTGTCAATTATATCAATTACAATATATTTAGAAATTGTAGAATAGATTTCACATTTTTCTTACTTTGCTGCTGTTGCCATTGAAATATATGAATTTTTTTGTGGTTTAAAACATAAGAATATCTTTGAAAAATCAGATATCACATCCTTCGGATACTAGGCTATATTTTGTGTAGGGAGACCTAGAGACAGCTAGCTATACGTATTTTATACATGACATATAATGCGTAAGTCTGTGTAGGGACTCGTAGAGACAGCTAGCTAGCTATAGGTATTTTAAACATGACATATAATGAGTAAGTCTGTGTAGGGACACCTAGAGACAGCTAGCTATAGGTATTTTATACATGACATATAATGCGTAAGTCTGTGTAGGGACACCTAGAGACAGCTAGCTATAGGTATTTTATACATGACATATAATGCGTAAGTCTGTGTAGGGACACCTAGAGACAGCTAGCTATAGGTATTTTATACATGACATATAATGCGTAAGTCTGTGTAGGGACACCTAGAGACAGCTAGCTATAGGTATTTTATACATGACATATAATGCGTAAGTCTGTGTAGGGACACCTAGAGACAGCTAGCTATAGGTATTTTATACATGACATATAATGCGTAAGTCTGTGTAGGGACACCTAGAGACAGCTAGCTATAGGTATTTCATACATGACATATAATGCGTAAGTCTGTGTAGGGACACCTAGAGACAGCTAGCTATAGGTATTTTATACAATGCTTAAGTCTGTGTAGGGAGACCTAGAGACAGCTAGCTATAGGTATTTTATACAATGCTTAAGTCTGTGTAGGGAGACCTAGAGACAGCTAGCTATAGGTATTTTATACAATACTACTTTCTATGAAGGGAGACCTAGAGACAACAAGCTGTAGGTATTTTATACAATACTACATTCAGTGTAGGGAGCTGTAGAGATGGCTAGCTATAGTATTTTGTACAATACTACATTCTGTGTAGGGAGCTGTAGAGATGGCTAGCTATAGTATTTTGTACAATACTACAATCAGTGTAGGGAGCTGTAGACACAACAAGCTGTAGGTATTTTATACGATACTACATTCTGTGTAGGGAGCTGTAGAGATGGCTAGCAACTGTGTGTGTGACTGTAACTTGAGTTTTGTGTTTGCCTCGTGTTTTAGTTGGACAAGCAGACTAACAATTTGATCCAGATTGAGGACAAGAACAAGCGCTCCAGTGATGAGGTAACCTTGACAACAGTGTTTGACTTGCTTCTAATATAACACACATGGGCTCTCTTTGTGCACTAATATTAATGTCCAATCTCACCTTATTTTTAAATAGAAAAAAAAAGTTTACAGTAGTCAGTAATGAATCTCATATACCTATTCAAGATAATTTTACATGATATTATGCAATGAATTAAGTTACATCATATATATTTCTCTAACAACAGAAATATTTGTCAAAGTTAAAACATGTTTGAATATTTTCAAATGCAGTTGTATATCCTCAGAAGTGTTTTATGTAGGCAATGATATGATTTGTTTATTTAAAGATATTTTTTGTCAAAATTAAGATGTGTTCTGTTTATGTTAAGTTTTGTTTGGCTAGGAATTATGTGTTGTCTAGGAATTATGTGTTGTCTTAACTAAGATATGTTTTGTCTTGGCTAGGAATTATGTTTTGTCTTAACTAAGATATGTTTTGTCTTGGCTAGGAATTATGTGTTGTCTTAACTAAGATATGTTTTGTCTTGGCTAGGAATTATGTGTTGTCTTAACTAAGATATGTTTTGTCTTGGCTAGGAATTATGTTTTGTCTTAACTAAGATATGTTTTGTCTTGGCTAGGAATTATGTTTTGTCTTAACTAAGATATGTTTTGTCTTGGCTAGGAATTATGTTTTGTCTTAACTAAGATATGTTTTGTCTTGGCTAGGATATGTTTTATCTTGGCTAGGAATTATGTTTTGTCTTAAATAAGATATGTTTTGCCTTGGCTAGGAATTACATTTTGTCTTGACTAAGATGTTTTTGTCAAGGCAAATATTAGTTTTGTCCAGCTATGAAGCACTGGTCTATGCTGAAGTGTGTTTGTCTATACTGAGATTTGTTTGTGTATGGACTGAGATATGTGTTTGTCTATACTGAGATTTGTTTGTGTATGGACTGAGATATGTGTTTGTCTATACTGAGATTTGTTTATGTATGGACTGAGATATGTGTTTGTCTATACTGAGATTTGTTTATGTATAGACTGAGATATGTGTTTGTCTATACTGAGATTTGTTTGTGTATGGACTGAGATATGTGTTTGTCTATACTGAGATTTGTTTATGTATGGACTGAGATAAGTGTTTGTCTATACTGAGATTTGTTTATGTATGGACTGAGATATGTGTTTGTCTATACTGAGATGTGTTGTAATATTCGATTGTTTTAGCTAAGATTTCTTTTTCTGGTCATTTATGTGTTTTTCTCTAAGACATATATTTTGTAGTATTGCTACAGAACAGAAATATATTGAATGGTTTATCACTAGACATGGGCTAATTGGCAGATAAAATCAGCAACACAGAATATTTCTCCTGGTCTTTGTTATTAATGCCTGTTCCTGTACTGTTGTACAAGATTATAAAATGATATTTTCAATTCAACAGTTACAACGGCTAGAGGCAAGAAACAAGATTGTGGAAGAGGAACTTTCCTCATTGAGAAAGCAAGCCGATGAATCTAAATCTGATGTATGTATACTGTGTGTGTTAAGGAGAGAAAATTTGAAGTATTTGTTTTAGAAATTATGAAGCTATTTTAAAATATTTTTTTTAAATCAGTTCAACACAATGTTTTTTAATGTAAAAGTAAATTACCTATTTTTATCATTCTTTACATATACTTATATAGATTTACTATTTATTTTCTTGTTTTTTTCACAAATTGAATGGATTTTTTAAGTGTATGTTGATATTTTCACGTTTTTCTTGTTTAAACTGATGCATTGAAATCCAAATATTTTTTTTTGCTTTTTTTTTTACAACGCATTTTAAGCTCCTCTTAAACTGACACAATGCAGTACTAGCAGTTCTATGCCCTTTATAGAAGTGACACAACTTTTGTTTCCAGGTGTAGAGTAACACATTTTTGCTAGAAATATTTTTTAATAAGATTTAGTTTCTTTAATATTTCATTTTCAGGTATATAGTCTAATTAAACTTCTGTTTTATTTTACCTGTTAACCACTCTTGCATATCATGAAATAATTTTTTATATATACTAGACTTGACACTCACTGAAAGATGGAAAGTTCTGTAGGACTTAAGTTCCTGGTTATTTATAGAACATCGGACAAGGATAAAACCATGTCTATCACTAATGATACCGGGTGGTTGTCAGTCCATGTATAAAGTCATGAAAGGCTCCACATGGAGACAGCATTAAGTCATTTTCTTTACTTGATAATCTTAAATTGATCAGTCTGAAATAATACAGCTTTGGAATAATATTTTGTATACCTATAAGTGAACCTTTTCTTTTATTCATTTTACTGTAATTATGACATAACAGAGCTAGTGTGATTTAAACACTTGTATTCCATATCGAATACTTCTATTTTTACTTGTTGGAACACAATATGTGATATTTAGGTCCCTGCCAAGGACTCACTGTCCTAGTGAAAGAGAACTTGTTTACAATGTCCCAGCTCTGTCTAAGACAGAAACAAATTCATGTAATGTATTCCCAAGAACTTTCCTAGAGTTTAACCTATATAGACTATTTGTCCTGGCCATGTCTCAGAGTTCAACCTCTGTAAATTATATATGTATGTTACAGCCAAGTCCCAGGTTTAACCAGTATATTTGTTACATACTGATATGTTCCAGCACTCTCCCAGAGATTAACCTCTATATACGGCAGCATTCTTTGTTTTTATATATTACCCATTTATATTCAAGAGTCAAGCTTCTATAGACTATTTGTATGTGTCCCAATAATGTCCTAGAGTCTGACTTGAATAAACTATTTGTTATGTATGTCCCAGCACTGTCCCATATGTAGACTATTTGGTTTGTAATGTCCCAGCAATATGCCACAGAGTTTAACCTCTGTAGACTATTTGTTATGTATGTCCCAGCACTGTCCCATATGTAGACTATTTGGTGTGTAATGTCCCAGCAGTATGCCACAGAGTTTAACCTCTGTAGACTATTTGTTATGCAGGCCACTTCTAATGTAACCAAGCTGGCCAGAGTGGACGCGGAATTACAAACTCTGCGCACACAACATGCCGAGTCTTTGGCCCAGGTAGTCTCATCAACCATCACAAGTAGCGTGCATTAACCTGCTTTTTGTCTCACTGCTGTAGCTGGAGGTGCCCCCTTGTGGCCCACACGCGTAGTTTTGTATATTATCCTACATGCTTCACCAAACCTAATTCAACTGTCTATAACTGGCTTTCAGTTTTATCTATGTTCACCTGTGATGATTTTCAACAGTTTTCCAAAGATTTTCAGCAGCAATTGTCATCACAAGAGTTTGTTTTGTTATGAAAAGAATGTGTAATTTGATTTTCGGGTTGGAGAATTTTTGTTTGACTATGGAACTTTTTTGTTTGATAATTACTGTATATAATGTAGTTTTTGAGATCAACAATAAAAAGAAAAAGTAAGTTGATTTTGCAGATTTACTTTTTTTCCCCATTTTGCACCAGTGTTGGTGTTAGATTTTTAATCTTAGATATTTTCATGCAGTGTGACAGTTTGTAGATGTCCTGAGGAATATTAGATATATATAATTACATGTACATGGATATCATGTAAAACATGTATGTAGTGACCATCTCCATCATATGTATTAAGAATCTGATCAGTTGTCACAAAACCATATTAAATAGGTTTATATACAGCAGAACATGTCTTGTCTTAGATCGGTTTATTCATTACAACTTTAGATGTATATGATGAACAGTTGAGGTTTATAGATGTCTATAATGATACCCTCAGAAATTGTTGCTTATATGTCTGGAATTTGGAAAGCATTATTGTTATTTTTTTTATTTTTTTTTTTTTTTTCGACATTGAAATCGATCTTTCATCTTACATAAATCTTGAAACTTTCAACTGTAAATCAGGACAGATATATTAGTAAAGCAAATCATCTGCATAAACTTCACAAGGCCATTTTTCTGTTCCTCTGAATGGATCCTCTCTATTGAATCATCGTTTTAGATAAATTTGATATATGTAAATATTTTTGCCATTTTATGGTATTGCTTTGAGTAACAAGATCTTCAATTTAATTTTAGATTGAATGATTCAGAAAATCAATAGAAGCAATTACTTTGTAATGATTTTATGCAGAAGATTACCTTATGTTATATATGTGTATACTTAATACTGGGAGAGGTATATCATAACCCATCACTGTTGGATGTTGGATATATGTAATGGGATGTAAACATGAGTAGAAAGGTTGTGTAGTACAGTGTATGTCAGCAGTGGAATGTCCTAGTGTGATGTATCATGTTTAGGTGGCGGGTTAACACAAATCATCGTTTGTCGTTTTTCATTTTATTTTTGGTTTGAGATTATGTTCAATTTATCTATTGATTTTGTTTTGCTTTTGTATGTAAGCTTTGCCTTTCTGTTACATTTTTCTTTTGAGATGATGAAAATGTATTTTTGTATTTATCTATATCTTTTTATTGGAGCTATATCAAAACTTGTTTAATTTAGATAACAAAACCGATATATAATGTTATTCATAAGTTTTAAACATTTCTTTCTAAAAAGAAATTAAATAGATTGTTTTCCCCTATAAACGTATTGTTTTGAAAAATTGACTACTGGTTTAGTTTATTTTATAAAACTGTTTTAGCTTATGTTTTTGTATCATAAGTTCATGATTAGAACATTGGAGTTTGCTCCCTTGTAATAGAGTTTGCTCCCTTGTGATAGTCTACATCACTTGATGTTGTCATTATGTTGAGTGACTTTGCAATACAGGTAAAAACCTACATCTCTAAGCTGGCCAGGGCCGAGGGGGAGATGCAGATGATTCGTGCAGAGAACTCAGAATCTGTTTCTCAGGTTAGAGGGCAATGTCAACTGGTATAACAAAGCTGCTCTCTCTCTTGCTTAATGATTCCAATGGCAGGAGTGGTGCACTCTCAGCGTGGACTCATATGCTTTTAATTCATTTGTTTAGTAATTGACTCAAGAAATTGAACTCAGTCTTCTTCAGTGAAAGCCTCGTAATAATAATGCACAAACCCTCTGTCATCCCTCAAAAAGAAGAAGGAAAAAAACGGGGAAGAGAAGAAAAAGCAATTTAGAAAAAGAATTTGAATTTTGAAGTTAATGTGATATGATGAGATGGATGGACTGTGGTCAGAATTGTAGAAGGCTGAGTCAGTATAATATCAGTGCATGTTGTACTTTTACATTTTGTCTTAGGTGTTCATGGGATAAAGCATTAATGAATGTTTGGCGATTAGTTTTAGCCTCAGTGGAAAGGTCATCTAACCCTTAATTTGTACAAAACGCTTGAACAAGGACTAGATGTTGGAGAATGGTTTAATTAACTTCATTAATTAACTTAATAACATTAATTGGAAAAGAGTTGTTTTTTATTTTTGGGGGTTTTTTGCCAGGTTGCTGTTCACTTTTATGAAATTGATGTGAAAATAACATCTGATTTGATTTTGATAATGTGTGTTCTTAAAGGATTTGTGTGACTATATGTGTGATATTACATTTGTGTTTGAAGGGACTTTGTTTTTGGCTGTGGTTTGACTCTATAATATTTATCTTTTAAATTAGATGTTTTGGTAATACGACAATACATAAAAAAACATATATGGCTTGTGTGGGTAATACAATAATGGATATCTATATTATATCTGTCAATATAAAAGGTACAATTATTATCCAAAATAATGGACATAAATGACCTAGGGGAATAATCGCAAATAAGCCCACTTTTACTTCTAGTCCAGTCTTTTTTTCCAGTTGAGGGGGCTTGTTTGCTGTAAAATCAAAATTTGCATGTGCTCCGTTGCTTACTGGAAGATCTTTTTTGTGTTTCTGATACAATTTTTAAGCGATTCCTTTTCTCCCAGAAAGCCTTTGCCTTACAGCTGCATGAATCTACAGAATATAAAAAGACTTCAGCTTCACAGGGTCCCAGTATCATATGTAACAGCAGAAGAGGGATAACTCCCTCTGTTAACCACACCACAGTGTATTTATACAGCACCTGTTTGATGTATTCCAATTTACCAATGCATGTCTCTCACTTTGTAACTTTTTAACTCTGTAATGGTGTACTAGATTTCATATGTTTGAACTGTTGTGGTGTGTTTAAAATTTTGCAAATTCATCTCTTTCATTCATAAATGTTTAATAAGATATGACACTTTATAAATGCAATTTGGTAAATGTCTTTGTAGTAAAACATTGTATTTTAATTTTATTAAATCTGACACATTTATCTTCACAATTTTCTAAATTGTTTGTTAAAATTATATTAAATCAAAATTTGTGTATTAAAGCACTACCAAAGCATGTAGTTAATTATACATACTGTTTAAATTGTTTCTCACATAATGCTGTGACTGTAGACTGTGGTCATACATGGAAAGTTCATGAACTGCTGAGATGGTTTGCATGAGTGTGTTATCCCAATAGTTATTATTTGATATCATTTTATTTATATCAGTTATTACATAAATATTGATGACTGTAAATATTGTCATTGTTGATTTGTAAATATAGTTAGGTTGGTTTTGTTTGTTCCCCATGTGTGTTATCTCCCCTTGTTGTGATCAGTTAATCATCATTACCCTTGGTGAATGGATAATACATTTTATCCCAGCTAGACTCCTCATTAACTCTCTACAATAGGAGACACCATGATCTGTTATAGAATGTGATATTCATACAGATTTGTTTGCTTAACAGGTCCAGAAATTGACTGCTACACTACAGAAATTACAAGGTACCTCTAAAGACACAAGAGATGCTCTCACATCAGAAGTAAGTAACCCACACTGTCTTAAAAACATTGTTGCTTTGCAGAATGTGTTAGCTAGAAGTTCCTCTCACATTGCAATGACTGCCATCAGTGATTCCTGCTGTTTATACGTAATGACACAAAGTAACGGAGCCAGCTTTATGATCAGGATTGAACAGTTAACCAACTACTGAATGATGTTCTTAGAAGTCTACATCACTGATTGTCACACAAAACTGGCAGCATATATTAGAAAACCTGTAAAGTTATCCTAAATATTAATATATGTAGATCAATTATTTGACAAAATTTGAGTGATACTGGGCTGATTATTGATTTCATTGATAAATTTTATCACCTTTGATTGATTATGATGAGGTAGCCTCACAAGAAACTGTCCGTCGAGGTAACCTGTGATGTGTACAGATTATTACATCGTTGAGAATTGATATCAATGCCATCTTATATGGAAATTATAGGTGTCTGTTAGTCATCATGTACATACATAACCTTATGCTTTTTCTTGTTAATAACTACAAAAGTAATGAATGCATATGTTAGATATTACCAAGCGAAATCTTCATCTGTATCTAATGTGTTTTTGTGTCTCTTTCAAAGTACAATAATTACAGCATCTGTATCTAATGTGTTTTTGTGTCTCTTTCAAAGTACAATAATTACAGAAGTACCTATTATGTAAGTGTCTGTATAGAAAATAATGCTTGCCAGCCCACAAATCTTAAGCTATTTTTATACCATTATTGACCTAATAAACAAACACTGTACTACCATTATTTCTTCAATTCAATTTTTTTTTTTTTGAAATCAAAATAATTTGTAAATTCACAAAATGTTTTTGATCAATATTGCTATTTACCTTGTCTGGGTTTGTTTGAAATAATGGTAAGTGTGGATTGTTTCTTGGGTATACTATGGTAAATATAGTCGACATATACTCTGAAATACCAGTAAATACTGGTGTAACCATATGGGAAGGAGGATTATTTACAAAGTAGTGCTGGTTTTACTACAAGGTGGGTTTGAATTTGAGAGTGATATGGTACATTTATCACATTAACATTAGTAAAGCTCAGTCAAAATAAATTATTTAAAAATCGGGGTTATTGGAAATGACTAATGGTTAGTTTGAAAAAAAATGCACAATTAATAGTCTAACTTTAGCTATATATTTCATTAACTAATTGATTTGTTTAAAGTTAATATTTAGTTATTTTTAAATATGAATTCCATTCACTTCTGTTTTCAATTTTAATGGCAGTGAATTTATCAGTTTATCATACAGAAAGACAGTGACTTAGTATACTATACTGCTATATTATCTTTGGATCTCCTTCCCATGTGTGTGATGGTAGCTTACTGTTTGGAATACTCTATATGAATGTTTGTATTGTTATCTATGATAATATCAAACAGCTATTCATTATTGGAATACATTGTACTTGTATATTTTCATTTTTTGAATGAATTTTAAAAACTAACATTTTCAACTTGTTGAAATCTATCAATATATAATATTGAAACTAAAAACATTTTAGTGACGATGATGTTTATGTATATGTAGTAATCAGTGTAGCATGACTAACTATATATGTCTCACACACGACTAACTATCTCACACAAACTTACAACCTCATTAGCATCCCCTCTTGTAACACTCACACCATTACTTCAACAATCTTTGTATTTATATTACAAGTCTGACAACTTCTGATAACTCAAATCCTTTCCTAGTGAGACAGCATTTTATGCAACATTCTACTTTCATTTTCTATGCCTGTTACACCAATTGAAAGTATTTGACAAATGTAGTACCTGTTTAATGTTAGAATGCTAGCTTGACATGTCTTCACACAGGACTTTAGGGATAGAGCTAGTATGGGACTAGTCGGTTGCTTGATGATCATAAAATCAGAAGGATTTAGTTAGATATTTTGTATGGAAACACAGATCAGAAGTAAAGATGTGTATTTCATTATACAGTATTGTGATATAAAGTATCCAGGTAGCGTCAGAGAATCTAGAGACATAAATAACACAATCCCATTAACAAAGTCTAGATATTAACAAAACCTTAACTTTTTATGTAATATTACATTTCAATGTGATGCTTGTGTAATTTTGTTTAATTTGGTAGAAGGTGAAGTGCTGATTAATGAATTTAATACAGTCACTGTTTTCCCATTCTTGAGTGTTGAGTGATTCACACAATTTTATTTTTTCTTGTAAATTTTTTTAAGCTTATGTAACATCTGCTATAAATAACATGACAGGAACTTGACAATTTTAACTAAATTCCTGTAGTATCTAAGGAAGACCTCAGTAGTAAACAGTTAGTAGAAGCAAAGGCTGTAATTATTTAATCTGCAATTTTATAGGTGGCAGACCATCATGACACCATAGTGAAGTTGAGAAATGAAAATAGAGAAGTTGATGACAAACTAAGGGAGGCATTGTCAACAGCCCAGCACAGGGGAGATGTCATCAAACAGCTGAGGGAGGAGATCAAACAGTATCAGTCCAGGGTCAGTATATAGGTTACACAGACCCACAAAGGGTCAATATATAGGTCACACACTACCAGTTTATAGGTCACATAGACCCACATAGGCTCAATATGTAAGTCATACTACCAGTATTGGGTAATGTACTCCTACTTTTCTAATCTTAGGAGTAAAATATGATTTCAGTCAGGCTATGCAAGTTTTTTGATTTTCAGCATGAAATACAACTTGTTTTAGTTGACTTGTGTGATATTTCTTAATCTAGCAAATAAAACAAAACTGAAATGTTTGTTACTCATTGATTCAATGATCTTACTCACCATTGCTTTAGTGTTGAAACTGGTGGAAGTTAGATAATGCCTGGGAGGGTTGACTGTTTGCTGCTGTCATGGTGGTCGCTGACTTCAAAATGTGATAGAATCATTAAAATGATAATGGGCCGTGACCAGTAAAATTCCATCATGTTAAGCATTTTGACAACTATGATTATACAAAGTTAGAAAGAGTTTTGGGTAAAGCTTAGGTCACAAACGCAAGTTATAAAACATGGGTAAATGAAAATGTGATAGCATAATGGGTACACATCAATTTTATTATCAACCTGAATATGCTAATATGCAACTTATCTAGAGCACTGAGTCCAGATTCAATATATATATCACATAGTACAAGTCCCACGCCTGTATGTCGGTCACACAGATCCACACAGTGTCATTATCTATTTTGGGTATTTTTATCCTTCCACAGGGTCAGGATTTCCAGAGGAAGATGGAGGCTATGGACCAAGATCTACAACAGGCTCACAGTCGCTATTCTGGCCAGTGTAGGGAGGTCAGTATATGTCTTTACATACTTTCTTACCATACAGTAAACTGGTATAAATTTTGGAGTTTTGGTTTGATGTCTACTTTTGTAACATTACTGAGGGAGTTGTGAATTGTTGTTCAGAATGACCGCCTACAGACAGAAATTCAGGAACGAAACTTGACTGCTAGCCAACACGAAACTTACTTCAAGTCTGAGGTTGCCGACAAAGAGGAAGAAATACATCGACTCAAGGCTGAAGTCAACATCCTCCATGAAAAACTGTCCCAGACCACCTCACAGGTATATTTTGTATGTTAAATTCAACATCCTCCATGAAAAACTGTCCCAGACCACCTCACAGGTATATTTTGTATGTCAAATTCAACATCCTCCATTAAAAAACTGTCCCAGTCCACCGCGCAGTTACATTTTGTGTGTCAAGGTCAATAACCTCCATTAAAAACTGTCCCAGTCTACCTCACAGGTACATTTTGTGTGTCAAGGTCAATAATCTCCATTGAAAACTGTCCCAGTCTACCTCACAGGTACATTTTGTGTGTCAAGGTCAATAACCGCCATTAAAAACTGTTTCAGATCACTTCTAGTAATTTTATACATTTCATTTACTGATTTGCAGTTGTTATCTAGAGAAGAGCAGATAGCAAGTCTCAATGCCAGCATCAAAGACCTGGAGGCAGAAATGTCGAGGAAGGATTTAGCCTTACAGAAGTTTGATGTTGACCTGATGAATGTTGATCAGGAAAGGTGTAAAGCTGAGGATGATGTAAGTATATGTGGTCTACCTGTATAGGCGCACTCGCTCGGGAGATCAGAACTAAAAACAAACAAACAAAATTTTTTTTTAAACCAAAATTATACAGTGCCTATACCATAGCACCAATTGCTGTGGTGAGTATGATGGAAGAATGATGTATATATCTGCAGTCAACTGGTATAGGTACATTTCACGCTGTCACTCCAGACATCACAAATGTTTTGTAGCAACATGATATAAGAATTTCACAAAGAAAACCAGAACAGTTGTTAGCTGTTGTGTTCTGATTACATTACAGGTATATAGCTAAATCTAAAAATGATTTTACAAAAAAAAACAAGAGTCAACAGAAGTTGGTGTTTTTATTTGCTTTGTTTTGATTTCAGGTTTCGCGACGTGATATTAGCATTCAGCAGTTAGAGCAGGACCTTGCCCAGGTGAAGGCTCAGTATCGAGAGTCTGTCGAGGAAAACGGGCGTCTGGAGGCACGCATTCAGGCCTTCGCCATCAATGCTCAGAGTGAACAAGATGTCCTCACCTCTGAAGTAAGGAAGTTTCATTTTTGTTGTGAACCGTGAGCAGTAATTTATGTAAAATTATTCCCTAGATTGTCATTATCATTTGATACTTGTATGTAAGGTGTAACCCGGAAAAGACTTTGTCCTGTAGCATTATCAATGTTCTAGATGTGGTTATAGCGTCTTTCAGCATTCTGTAATAACCCAAACAAAACAACAATAGAAAATAGTATTAATGGAACAGAAAAGGAGATAACTAAACCAGGGTTTGTAGTTAAAGGAAGAGAAAAGGAGATAATTAAACCAGGGTTTGTAGTTAAAGGAACAGAAAAGGAGATAACTAAACCAGGGTTTGTAGTTAAAGGAAGAGAAAAGGAGATAATTAAACCAGGGTTTGTAGTTAAAGGAACAGAAAAGGAGATAATTAAACCAGGGTTTGTAGTTAAAGGAAGAGAAAAGGAGATAATTAAACCAGGGTTTGTAGTTAAAGTAAGAGAAAAGGAGATAATTAAACCAGGGTTTGTAGTTAAAGGAAGAGAAAAGGAGATAACTAAACCAGGGTTTGTAGTTAAAGGAAGAGAAAAGGAGATAATTAAACCAGGGTTTGTAGTTAAAGGAACAGAAAAGGAGATAACTAAACCAGGGTTTGTAGTTAAAGGAACAGAAAAGGAGATAACTAAACCAGGGTTTGTAGTTAAAGGAACAGAAAAGGAGATAACTAAACCAGGGTTTGTAGTTAAAGGAAGAGAAAAGGAGATAACTAAACCAGGGTTTGTAGTTAAAGGAACAGAAAAGGAGATAACTAAACCAGGGTTTGTAGTTAAAGGAAGAGAAAAGGAGATAACTAAACCAGGGTTTGTAGTTAATTTAATGTAGTATTATTTCTATTCTTACTGAACTTCAACGTTGCAGATGAATTTCACGCTGAAAAGATCTTTATATTCAAATTCATGTGTCAAATACTGTTTTTATTTTCTTTACCCTATCAGACTTGTCACTTATATTTTTACCGGACACTTTTTTCATTGTTTGGTTTAAGTCTTGTAAGTTACACGCAGAACAGAAAACTAACAGAATAGCTGTAATGAATTCATGTATAATTAGATGATGACTTAAGCTCATTAGGAAGTCTTGTGTAGGTACTAGGTCACTGTTACCTGTAGGAGGGTAGGGACATGTTTACACTGATCATAGACGGTCACATATGTCAACTGTGTTTATCAGCTAGACAACTATCTGAGGGAATTTATGGGATAGATGTCCAGGGAAGTGTGTATGATATATGTTAGACTAAAGATCTTAATGTCTGTACACAAGGATGGCTTGTGCTCAGTTAATGGAAAGGCTTCAAGTGAGTTATTGATTTCCCAGTATTTCAAACAAGAAACAAACTGAGAATTGTATGTATCCATTCTATGTATTAATATAACATATCATGTTTGCAGGTGAAGCGACGAGAGGAAGCCATCAAACGTCTCAAGATGGAAAACATTACCATGCAGGAGCGCAACAGTAAATACGAGGAGAAGGTTAGTTATTTCTGTCTATACTTGTAATGAGTGAATACTAGGGACAGCTAATTATGTTTTCTTCCTCTCTGCAATATCACTGCCAATATTTTTAGTCTTCAACTTCCTTCAGACAAATGTACACTTTAAAAGGTTTATTTTAAGAAGATTTGTTGACAAATAAAACCAAAAACAGAGGTCAAATTTTGGAAGTCTTCCTCTTGTATTTGGAAATTTTTCTGTGTTTATATGTGTGTTTGTCCATATTCTGTGGTGTGATTTCATTGACAAATAGTAATAATTCAGAGACCATCCCTAGTTCTTCAGAGACTGGTTAGAGATATTTGCAGTGGAGTGTGAAACATTCAAATATGAATCAAACACATCTAGGAACATTCTTTATCAGTTCACAGCTGTAGGTTTGTTGAGGTCAGGTACATGTATTTGGGGTAATAGTTTTGCCTTTTATACTATTTATACTATCACTATAACCACTTGTTAAGTCTTACTAACCTTTGAGTAACTGGGCCCAGCATGCTATCTAGATATCTACCAGTGTTACAGAAAGTCCACTGACTATTTGCCTTATGATGTGAAAACTATTTTATTATAATATTAAAACACCTGTATATTGTTTGTTTGAACAGGTAAATCAGTTGGACAGAGAAGTGGAACAGTTAAAAGTTCAGCTACGTACATCACAATCAGAGGTATGTCTGTGTCCGTACAGTATACTAGTGGTGAAATATTTGAGACATTATAGTTTATTCAATAAAGAATGACAAGAAAGGCCACTGATATCTGATGACAAACTATTTAATCTGACATATTTGCTATCTAATGTCACATTTGCTATTTAGTCTGCCAGATTTGCTATCTAATGTCACATCAGAGATTTCCTAAAATGCTAGTCCTTAATATGTAGTCACCTTTTCTTTAATACCAGATGAAATCATTGAAAACTTGTACTGTTTGAGCATTGTATGAAATGTGTGTTTAAATACAATCCATATTGATCTCTGTATTTTTTGTGCACACAGAATGACACAAAGAAAGGTACAATAAGTAACATTGAGTCTAACTTGAGTGATGTGAAGCGCCGTAACACCCAGTATCAGGATGATGTGAACCGCCTCGAGGACCGTGTACGGGAACTAAACATTGAACTGACCTCTCTCCAGTCACAGTGTGACAAACAACAACATAATGTAATTATAAATTTATTATGGTATACTGGCAGGTCAATTTGCTATGTACAAATTTTGTCATGTCAGAAACAAAATGTCTAATCCTAGCTATTTATTACTTTTATCGTGGATGAGAAGTGACACAAATACATAACTTTTACTAAATCAGAATTAGCATGTTCCAATCTTTGTTATGCGGTCTTTGGCAAAAATAAGTAAAATGAGACATCAACGAGGAAAAAACATGTTAAACAGTGTCTGGTGTATTTCTTTAAAACTAAAATCTGTATTCTTGTTCAAATTGGGAAAAAGTATAAAATTTGGTATGACATGTTTTTATGTGTAGATTGGTACTAAGGAGGAGCTGCTGGTGAACCTTAAGGCTGACCTGGTCAGTGTACAGAAACAACAGAAGGAAACCATGAGTAAGGTGTGTGGAGCCAATTTACCTGTAGTTACTACAACTACAGAAACAACACCAAAACCTTTAATCTTTATTTTACAAAGAAAATTACACCGAATGCTTTGATAAGGCTGGCTAACTATGACATGTTTAAAGCTCTGACTATAGAAGTAATAATTTCTTAAAGACTGTGTTACTCCTAACTACCTTATCAATGGTGTCAATACTGTGAAATCATTCATTTTTTATGGAGGATTTATTCGCAGTGAATTTTTATGTACATGAAAAATAAAAGGATGAAAGTTGACATAGATTATAGAACTGGTGGATTTGGAAACCCATGAAATTTGAGCCCCACAAAAATGTATGATTTTACAGTAAGCAGTAACATAGATTGGGTTATGAACTCACAGTCATGTTTGAAGTGGCTACAGGTTCTAATTGTTTCAATTGTCATTCAATGTTACAATTTTTTAATTGCCTTGTGTCATGAAAAATACTTCTATCTAGAATATTTCAATTTGCAATGGTCCTGAGAAAATGTTGTTTTTACCAATGTTGAACAAAACTTCTTGTTGCCTGAGAAACAAAATCTTAATTTCATTCGTTTTACTTTGTCATGCCACAATACAGATAATGGATTAATTATGAAACTGACAAATGTCTTAGTTCTGATGTAGGTATACAGGTTACATGAGACTCTGAACTTTTCATATTTATATATATACAGGTACATATCAGGGATGATACAATCCAAAAGCTGAATTCAGAAATAGGCCGTCTGAAGGGCAAACACCAGGAAAAGCTTGGAGAGGTTAACAAACAATCCGAAACCATTAAAAAGCTTCAGGAGGCTCTGACGCAGTGTCATGTAGATCTGGACAAGAGCAGAAAACTCACAGAGCAAGAGGTTAGTGAGATTTTGTGTTACACAGAACAAGATGTCAGTGTGAGTTTGTAATATAATAACACAACAAAACATGATATAACATCATGAGAAAACTCACTGGAACAAGAGATTGATATGACTTTGTCATTGAATAGATTATATGATTTCTTTAAAACATTCATATATTGTACTTTATTACTGAGATTTGAATACATATGTGTAATTTATTTTGTAAGTATAACCAACAAATTGTGATAATGTGATTACCTGTTTTCCAGGTAAGACGTCGAGATGAGACCATAAAGACCTTACAGGAAGATCTGATGGAATCACAGTCCCAATACAGCGCCTGTTATAATGAGGTGAGATACAAAATATTCATGTTATTAACTGATTTTTCTGCATCATAAAAACTTAACAAGATATAAAGTTATAGAATTGCTTTTTTATGATTATTTGTGTTGTGTTCTAGTTGATGAAAGCTGAGGATGATATAGAAAGTTTGAAGAATGAAAACTCTCATCTGAATCAGAACGGTCAGCAAAGCTCTGAGGAGGTTGGTCAGCTCCAGGAACAGTTACATCAGCTAGAGCTAGACCTGACCATCTCCCAGGAAAAACACAGGACATGTCAGAAAGAGGTGAGCAGTTTATAAAGGTTAGGTCAGAACAAAATCAAAAGAGTAGGAATTTACAAAGGTTAAGTTGAAAAGAAGTGAATGGATGATCATGTCAATAAGGCACAATAAGTTTGAATTTTGCATGTATTTATGCTCAGAAAGAGGTAAGTAGTTTTGGAAAAGTTTTGTAAGACTGGGGTAAGTTGAAAAGAAGTGAATTGATGATCATGTCAAAAAGGCACACAAAGTTTGGTGGTTTATATTTTGGAAAGTATATGTAAGACTGGGGTAAGAGAGTCTGATGGAATGAACTATGATGATGGTGGTTTAAGAAAGATAGAAAGTATTATTGGTAAACATGATATATTTTAGTGAAATGAAATTATTTCCTAATGAAATGAACAAATATCACTAAATATTAATGTGTCATTTACAGGTGGCTCACAGGGACCAAGTGATCCTCAAGGTTCAAGGAGAACTGGACACAACACAAGAGAAGTACCAGGGGTGCATGGAGGAGGTAGGAATGTTATGAAAATAATTTGTGACATATTTTGACCAATTCTATCCTAAGAAGGAATTTGTATGATGACATTTCAAAAAAGGTTGAATTCTATTAAAGATTTTTGTTTTAATCATTACTAGTGTCTACTTACTTATTCATAACATAAAATCTCTCAAGTTACAACTAGCACTGAATTTTGGTAGATTGAACGTTGAAAACTGATGAAACGAAAGTTAATGGAATACATGTTAATTGTGATTTCCAGTTGAACATTCGTGAAGATGAAGTGATCCGACTAAATGGTCGTGTGAAGCAGCTTCAGCAGGAAATCAGAGACCTTAATGCCAAAAGTGAACAAGACGAGAAAAAGGTAGATCTATTGGAAAGTAAAAATAATGAAACTGTTACTAGACTTGACGACTTAAGAAAGTATATGGAAGGTTACAAGTTTACATCATGTGTATTTTTGTAAATAAAGTAGCAGTTTATAACCACTATAATCTGGATTCATTGATGTGGCTTTACAACAAGTACCTAGTATGTAAAAGTGGGAAGTGTTAAACAATTGTTTTTGTTTGTATTTTTCCAGCTTTCGGAGGATGAGAAGTCTATTCAAAAACTGCAACACGATCATGAAATTTCGTTACAAGAGGTAAGAATTCTTGTAATTCAGGTTTGATCCGAATGCGACAAATTGTCTGTTTTATGAAAGTGAACAGTCGCTCAGCTAAAAGTCCTTATTGCAAAGCATGTCATTTTTTTTTAATTTAAATTTAACAATTCTACTTAATTTGATGGTTGATTTTTTTATTTTGATAACTATGTTTGAACGTTCACATTTTCAATCAGTAGTTTGATGTGTAGTCATTAATCCATGTGTAGCTTGATTTACATTGTGGTGATGATTCATCATGTTGAAATGTCAAAAATTAACTCAAAATTTACTTTGAATTTGAAATTTTAAGACACCACATAGGAAGGCATATGATCAGAACAAGGGAGATAATTCTCGATATTTATCAGTACTTCACTGGAAACACATAGAGCACAAAGCTTCAGTAAATCAACATACAGTAGAGTTTGATGTCTGTTCTGTTGACACCCACCAACAGTACACCTCCAACATGTTATATCAGATTGTGTATGGTGCTAAAGCTCCTAACACTACATACAATGTGTAGTATTATCAGGAACACACAAGTTTGTAATTGTTAAAATTTGGATGAATGTGATATTTTTTGTCAATTCTTAATTTTTACTAGGAATCATTTTTCATAATACATCAAAACTTATGTTATATGTGGGGAAATTATATAAGTTAACATTTTTATTCAAAATTACACCACTTCATGGTTACACACATTCTTGAATTGTCTCCCCTGATCATGTCTGCATTGAGTTGCAGGTAACATTTACTCTACAGCATGTTTATGGTGACTTGGCCCCATTGTAATGGTAGTTTTAACCAGTAGAGATAGAGAGGTCAGTTTGTAGGGATTCCTGGTGTCAGCTTGTAGCTAGAGGGAGGACAGTTTATAGAGATTTTCTTGTGTCAGATAATTTGTAAAGATAACTTTACACTGTAGAGTCAGAGAGGATGGTTTGTTGGGACTTCTCTTGTGTCAGATCATTTGTAATTATAACTTAACCCTTTAGATACAGAGAGAATGGTTTGTTGGGACTTCTCTTGTGTCAGATCATTTGTAATGATAACTTAACCCCTGTAGATACAGAGAGGACAGTTTGTTGGGACTTCTCTGGTGTCAGATTATTTGTAATGATAATTTAACCCAAGTAAATACAGAGAAGACAATTTGTTGGAAATTCTCTTGTGTCAGATCATTTGTAATTATAACTTAACCCTTTAGATACAGAGAGGACAGTTTGTTGGGACTTCTCTGGTGTCAGATTATTTGTAATGATAATTTAACCCAAGTAAATACAGAGAAGACAATTTGTTGGAAATTCTCTTGTGTCAGATCATTTGTAATGATAACTTAATCCCAGTAGATACAGAGAGGACAGTTTGTTGGGACCTCTCTTGTGTCAGATCATTTGTAATGATAACTTAACCCCTGTAGATACAGAGAAGACAGTTTGTTGGGACCTCTCTTGTGTCGGATCATTTGTAATGATAACTTAATCCCAGTAGATACAGAGAGGACAGTTTGTTGGGACCTCTCTTGTGTCAGATCATTTGTAATGATAACTTAATCCCAGTAGATACAGAAAGGACAGTTTGTTGGGACCTCTCTTGTGTCAGATCATTTGTAATGATAACTTAACCCCTGTAGATACAGAGAAAACAGTTTGTTGGGACCTCTCTTGTGTCGGATCATTTGTAATGATAACTTAATCCCAGTAGATACAGAGAGGACAGTTTGTTGGGACCTCTCTTGTGTCAGATCATTTGTAATGATAACTTTACCCTGTAGAGTCAGAGAGGACAGAATGGAGCAGTGGTAATGATATGTATACAGCTGATATTAATGCTTAAAAATTACCCAGGTTTTGTTGGTAAAGGTAGATAACTCCAGGTGTTTAGAGGTGAAGGGTAATTTTATAGTATACAATGATGCTCTATATCAGTCTTATCAGCAAATAATGTGATAAATATATACTAATAATGTCGGTTTTATAGTTTGTAATTAACATAATGATTGAAGTGAAATAGAAATTAGATGATGAAAAGCTCCAGGTTTACCCTGAATGTTCTTCTATCATCATGTCAGATATCCACTAGTACAGTTAGAAAGGTATAATTCTGACTTGATGAGTCCTGTATATGTGTACCTTTGTTTCGTTCCCGGTAGAAAGATCTGAAGGTAAGTGCAGGTATCTTGTCAACCTGCCTTGGAAAGCTTTATTATATCAGATCATTGACAATCTATTGAAACTTCCTCTACCCAAGTAACAACTAGTACATTGAATCTGTGTGCTTCTCCTCCACAATCACAATTTGGTGACCTAAACAGACTTCGGTTGTTTCATGTATTTACCCGAAAAGTTGGATTTGATTTCAGATTAAAATGTTTAAGTGGAGTTGAAATAGCACACAAATTTGATGTTTACAAAATTTGAAGTAACATTGATTGACATCCTATTATATTTCAGCTTTATCTAATATAAGTTTGTAAATATATCTGTGTTTTATTATAACCATTTTTGTCAGCATTATCAGGTGTGTCCAGAATAAGTATAACAGTATTTATTTTTTGAGTTACTACACAGTTCAGTACTTAGGAATCAATGACATCTGCATGTCTACAATGAACTGTCTGTGATTATGTACATGCCAAGGTTTAGAAACCTTTAGTTTCCATTATTCTTGTTTTTGGTGTTGGTTTTGTTTCTCAGTTACAAAATCTTTTGCCTTTGAATTTGTTTTCTCATATCTTTCTAGATAAATTAAAATTAAATTTCAAATTTATTCAAACTAATAATATTATTAATTATTACATTGTAGCAGAAAAATGAATTTTGTCGGAGGAATCATATATATCTACTCTATTTATCCTGGTAACATAAGAGACTATTTGCAGTGGAAGTCCATTACTGGCATTTCCTTCCTTTCTTAACCCAATGACATAATTGTATGCAAAAAGTATTATATTATTTCAATGTTTGAATTCATAGTAAAACTTTCAGTAGACAAAATACAACTTACAGAACACTGGTCCTGTAGTCACAAAAACTGTGTGATGTCTGTTCTCTCCGTATAACCAAGAATTAAACTTAAAACGTGTTCCTCATTGCCTCCAGATGAAGAACCATCTGCGTACAATTGAGCAGCTGAAGTCTGAACTCCATTTAGCCAAGAGCAGTCATGAACAGGAAGTGAAGCGTATCCAACAGGATATGGACTTGTTACGTGAGGAACTTCAAATGACACATAACCAGAACAGTGATGGACAGAAGGAAAATCTGGACCACAAGACCACAATCATGGCACTGAATGATGAAATAGACAGAATGAAGAGGATGCAGGATGACACAGCAATTGAGGTAGAACATAAATTTAAGGCAGAGGATGATAAGAAAAGTGTGCATGGGGGAGGGGCATGTTACTGGTAGTAGGAGGTGATAAGTTTTGGGGAGTAGGGGAGGATGAGATATGAAATCAGTGTGAGTCTGATATAAGGCACAATGAGATCCTTGATTGTGATTGACTCATTTGGGAACAGAATTAGAGGGGTAATAGATCATCTACACAGTCTGAGGTCACAGGTTTAATACATGGAAAAGAACAGTAGAGAATAAAAACATTTTCAAACTATCCAATGCTGTAAGTGTCTATGATTTGACGATTAAGATTAAAAATCATTTCGTGTGAAAAAAATGTGTGTAAAGCATTTCTCCATGATTTCAGATGAAACGCCAGAATGACCAGTTGCATGAGCATGAGGTGTCGCTGGCAGAATCTCGCCAACAGATCATTCTACTAGAGGACCAGCTGGACAGTAGTCGTGAAGAGGGCCATGCGCTGGAGTCAGAGCTGGACAGCTTCAAACAAAAATATAACAAGAGTATGAATGAGGTGGGACATCTCGAGGGAACTGTCAAAACTCTACAGGTGAGGAATTTTATGAAATATATTTAATTTGAATATCTTCAATATTAATATCAATACAACGTAGATATCAGCTAGTAAACATGACTTAGTCGTTAAAAAACCAAATTTATTTGTACTACAAGTGTAACCTTACAAATCAACAAAAGTTATCAAACAAAACTTCGAAATCTTTTTAATCATTAAAATCTTGTTAGTAAAATTTATTGATCACAGCTTCTATAGGTATTCAAAACCCAGTTTATTTCTTATATTGTTCTTCTGATTGGAATCAAGTTTTCAGATTCATGAAAATGATTTGCTAAGTTATCTGTGGATAAGCAAGATTTTTACTGCTGATTTTTGTCACCAGGACAAGCTGTCTGAGAGTCGTAAGCGTGAACTCGAGAAGGAGCACCAGCTGGAAACGATGAAAAGTGAGATGGATAATCTGGAGGTAATGTACCGCGACACTAAACATGAGGTTGCTAAGTTTGAGGAGGTCATTGAACAGCTGACAACTGAGCTGCGCACCACCCAAGATGAACTGTCGTTGTCCAACAATCGTGTACACGAATGTGAAGAGAATATCAAGAACCTTAAGGACAGGAATGCCTTACTTCAATCAGAGGTAGGTATTTAAAAGAAATTTTAAAGAATCAGGTTTGCTCTCTTATGTATTGTTGCAGTATGAAGATAATTTTTTTTATTATAGAGGTTGTTTTATTTGAATAACAATTTTATTTTGTTTCCAGTCTTTAAGTCATGAAGAACATGCTAAGAAACTGGAGAATGAACTTTACACATACCAGGGAGAACACAGTCACACTGATCAGGAGGTAAGTTAGTCAGTCACATAAACAGTCACCATACCACAGATACTACTTTATTCTAGTATACAATGACTTCTAAGGTTCTATTTTAACATGTAACATGGGAAGATGGTCTCTAGTAAATCTAATTGAATTTGAACTCCAAATTTAAGTAATAGATATCATTACTTGAAGACATATATGAAGATCTATTATTAGGGCCCTGGTTCAAAATTTCCAGCCACATAGTGGGGCCCTTGCTGACCTGTCAGTGTTCTAGTTATGTATTCAAGCCTTTAGAGACATGAATGTAGTTGTCTCCTTTTTCCTCAGTACCTGGATAAGGAGGACAAGATCGCCCACCTTGATATGACCCTAGAAGAGACGAGGAGTGAACTTCAGGCCAAACTTCGGCAGATGTCTGACCAACAGGACCAGATCAATGACCTCAAGGTTGAACTCGCCTCAGTCAGGGAACAGAAAAACAGTGCTATGAAAGAGGTTTGTTTTAATGTAGATATATTAACTTCATCCCGGCATTCATGTCAGGAAATCTGACGAGAAAAGATAACATTATAATATCACATTCAACTTAACTGAAAAAACAACTTTTAAATTTTAAGATGAAAGGAAAAGTAGTGTTAAGTATGAAATCATTTAAACAGAACTACAAGATTTTTTGTAAAATTGTCATTATTATTTTCTTAGAATGATCGTCTGGAGCAGAGTATTCAGCAACTGCAGCTCAATTTGGCCACATCCCACCAGCGTCACAAATCCGACACTAACCGCCTACAGGACCAACTTTCTCATCTAGAGGCTGAACTGCGGCAAATCCAGGCACGAGGCCAGGCCGTTGAACAGGAGTTAAGTCATCGCCAGGAACAGCTTCTCCAGAGTGAATCTGAAGTCAAAGCATGTCGCAGTGACATTGCTAGCAAGATGGAAGAGGTAAGTTTTATCATTTGAACTAAAAAGTCATTTACTGTCATTAATTCTAAATGGTAAGAATATCTTTTTTGCTAAAGCTAATGTAGAGGAATTGTTGTTATCAGTCTATATTCTCTCAAGTAATCCATAAGTCTGTTGGAAGGGTTGTATGTATTCTGTCAGTGTATATACATGTTGGTAGTACATATATGTAAGGGAGGTCACTCTTGTATTAAGACAAGTCATGAAGGGAAGTAACTCTCCAAATCTTGATTGACTTTGTACCCTACATGTCTGATCATGTTTCCCCCCTGTCAGTTAAAGTTTCCCACCATTGGCCATGAATACATGTTCTGACCTGACTAGGGACAGGTAACTATATACCTGTGTCATGGAGCCTCACCTGATATCACATTCAACTATCAATTTATTTTACCTGAGTCAATAAAGGCTGACAAAAATATCCTGCTCAAAGAAGTCTGTCCCATGTTAAATAGACCTTGTAAATGTAATACAAGTTAGCTTAGTTATTATCTATAGAGACCCAACAGGTCAGTAGACAGTAAAAACCGGTCTCTTTTTTTCCTGTTGCTTATGATAATCAATTCATTTCTTTTGACAAAATACTCTTCAATTGTGAAATCCTTTTTATGGTTTAAGTACAAAATGTAGCATGCTGCAGTTATGCTGATCAAATTCATAGGTAAAGAGAGTATCAGAGCGTATTAAAGGAAACAAAAAATCGATCTAGAATATCTAATGCTTTTTATTGCAATAAGTGTTGATGAGCCCTATTATATTGATACTTGTAATTTAATCGTATTTCTTTGATTTGATTTCCTTTCTTTGGATTTATTTTATACTACTTGATTACATTCTCTATCAGATTTAGTAAATCCTGAATCTTCTGCAGAATTTTCAAACTAGTTATTTTATTAACACAAATATTAACTTCCTGTAATTAATACGAGGTTCATTTTCTGAGGAGAAGTGTTTCTGGCTGTGAAAGAAATGTTGGTTTATAGCTGTTATAAGAGATTTTAGAATGATGTGATAAATGTTTTTTCTCCTATTACTGGTAGCTGTGTATACCAACTATATGCAGCAGTAATTACAGACTCTATAAAGTTAGTCCTGGATGTCATATAGAACTGCTGGGTCATTGTTGTTCTATGGATCTAATATATAGTTTCTCCTGATAACAATGTTGTAATGTTCTTTTCTTTAAATTTACCTGTGATGAATAATGAAATGCTGCAGAAACACTTAAAATTGTAAAGATTTCTGAACTACATTTAAAGGTAGCTATACAGCTGATATTAGTTAATCAGGGCTTTATTCACCTGGTGGCTGTTTGACCACTTGTAGCTGAGGTAGTTCAATATTTGTCCACTGATATAGACAGAAGTCAACAGAGAGATCAAGATAGCACACAGTCCCCTTTGAATAACCAAATGCCAATTAATTATCTTTGTGACTTATGGGATCTAATCCTACTAGCACCAGATTTCCTGAAACCCTTGGACTAGAGATTACATTGAGGGACATTTGATAATACCTTATTGGTTCAGTACATGTCTGATAATTCAGATATACATTTTATTTTTATAATTAGTTTTATGTATTTATAATTAGAAGCTATTGGTTGATTGGTAGACTACAATCTTGATGGTTTTATTGGTGTATTATCCAAGATTAAATCTGCAGATATTGAATCCCTATAATAGAGTTTATATAGAATTGTCCTCTGTATCAGTAGGGCTATTCCTCTCTGTGTCAATGGTATAGAAATCAAACTAAGATGTTCTCAGAAATGTAAGATTTCTCTCAGTTTTACAAACAGCCTTGTTTGGCTCTGAAAACTGCTGTGTGACATCTAAAATGTCTAATTGAGATAGTGTATATATTTTGAATACTGATGTTTGGTGAGATATGTTTGCCACACGACTCCTGTCTAAACTGAAGCACTCAGTAGTCAATAATAATAGCATGCCAACTCTGGGTCCCTCATACTGGTATGTTATAACTTCTTAATTGGAACTGATCAAAAGATTCTATTCAATACGCTACGTCTGCTAGATGACACTAAAAATATCATTAGTAGGCCATGTAAAATTGAAATTCTCAAAAGAGTTTAGCATCTGTTGGATTTTCAAGTTTTTACATGTCTTTAGAGCAAATCTGATCATGTAGAAATACTTTAGTGAATATAATCCAGCAGGGTGTTGATTATGTAGAGTAATGGTTAGAATTCCTACAAAAGGTGTCATCTACTCCTGCAGCTCGAGTTAGATCTCAATGCAGTGTGTACTAAATATCTTATTGAACTGTCTCTTCAGTGTAGGATAAGGACTAGAGTCAGGCTTGAGATGTGAGGGGGAGCCCTATAGGAGAGCAATGAGGCGTGGCTTTGAACAGAGTTCTCTAACATCAGATTGGCCTACCCTGTACACCCATTGGTCTCACAGTCTAACACTCTATTATCTTACTGATTAGAGATAGGTGTCCCATTCATAGTGGAGGAAACTCTATAGCTGGAGATAGTTAGGTACACATGGTGTGAGCTATTGAAGTACAAACCCAGGAATTCCTGTGATAAAAGCTTGACTTAGTCCACATACAAATTATGGTCAGTTTTCAGAGCCAAACCAAATGTTTGGGATCAGTGGAACCTATACTCAAGTGCTTGCAGTGTTTCTCTCCTCTTATGAAATAGTTTTATGGAAAAAATATGATTTCTCCTTCATGAAAAGAGAACATGTACTAAAGAATTTTTCGGAGACATTTCCATAATTTCTAGTGGCAGCATGCTTCATGTAACTGTGTGTTTTTAGTTTTCTTTACATTCCAAATGGTTAATTACACCATTTCTAATGAAAGAAGTTGTGATCAATAGAGTTGGCATTAGGGAGATGGAGAATTGTATACCAGTGCTGGTCTGACACTGGCTGAATGAATAGCACCTGAGGTGATATTATTCTGAGAAATCTATAATGCTAGTAGCACACAATTGTTATCCTGGAGTGTTGACGGAACTTGTTTCTCCAATTCTTTACAATCTTCATGCTGGATGGGACCTGACTAGCACTGATTCTGTATAATCTTGGTGCTGGATATTACTGGACAAGCACACAGTGGTTGTCCTGGAGTGCTGGTGGAACTCGCTTCTCTGATTCTGTATTATCTTGGTGCTGGATGGGACCTGACTAGCACAAAGTCGTTGTCCTGGAGTGCTGGTGAAACTTGTTTCTCTGATTTTGTATAATCTTTGTGCTGGATATTACCGAACTAGCACAAAGTCGTTGTCCTGGAGTGCTGGTGGTGTTTGTTTCTCCAGCTTTTTATAATCTTGGTGCTGTATTGTATCTGACAAGGTGTTCATTTGTGTTGTCAGGGCAATTCTCTGCCGTGCTGAAGGACAAGAAAGAATTCCTTTGACAGTCCATCAGTGTGTGTAGAGCTGTCATTCCCTTATCAGTGTTCAATCAGATGTGCGGCTACCTAAGTCACAGGATGGCTGTCAATATTTGTCTCCAACAGGAGTTTATGTAGTATAAATATGGAGTAGGAGGATTAAAAATTCTGTGAGCCAAGATATTTGTCTTGCTAAACAGTGTTCATTGTGAATGTGGAATCTTAGCGGAGATGTGTAGTGTTATCTCAGTAATCCATTCTGTCAGTGTAAACTCCAGATAAACTAATACACAGATCCCCCAAAAAATCTCACAAATATCTGCAGTGTTTCTGTCAGATTTCTGTTCTGGCAGCTTACACAAGTTTTTGTTGAGGTCAATAAGTTTCATTTTAATCAATTTAGAAATTCAGGCCACATAAAAATGTTATAGTTCACCTAAAGATATCTCACCTGTCAGATCAACCTTGTTACTTTCTGTAAGGAGCTATCAGGTGGTAACATCTGTGTACAGCATTGGTTATCGTGGTATTGTATTAAAAGTGTAGTCGTCCTTCAATCTATTGACACAGATCATATCAGCACAGTGTCATTTTCATATCTATTTGCTAAGTAAATTTAAATCATCAATAAGAAAGTGTACGGTTGAGTGAACAGCCAGCTTGTTGAAGTGTTGGCCCGATAGACTGGGAGAGTGGTCACACAGTAGCTCAGCAGTGGGTTGGACACTTACTCCCACTATCAGGCAATGAAATACCCAGCAACATGGGATCATATGGAACTCAAATTTCCTAAAACCAAGCCAGGATTTAGGCTTTGATATTTGTCTCTTAGCTACATAAGAGATACTCTTAGAAAGTATTGTTGTGATATCTCATAAGGATGGATTTCAGTCGTAGTGTTGAGGAGAAAATGAGGAAGATGGACCAGAGGTATGGGATTTCCCAAGACACAGATCCCATCAATGGGGGTCTGAACTTTGGTATGGAAATGACAATAAGGGAATATGAAAATTCACTTTTCCAGATTGAGAAACTAGAAGCAAACATCAAAGATATGAAAATAGAAATCAGTCACCTCCAGGGAGCCAAACAAAGAGCAGAGAACCAGGTCAGTAGAATTCTTAGTTATTTGTAGAGTGAAATATCTGTTTAGTACCTTCATGATTAAATTCTTTCCAGTTATTGTGAACTATAGTTTGTACTGCAATTTTGTCTGACAAATATTTAAGTTAATTGCTTGTCTGATAATTACTTCAGAATCAAAATAGTCAGCTGAATGAAAAAGTAATGTTATAATAATGGTGAAAATTCCTTTGTATATATGTTTGATATGGTAATGAAGTACTAACATATCCTACTGATGAGTATAATGGAATGTTATGGTAAAAAATACTTCTGAATTATCACCAATACTCTTGTGATATGCTTCCATTGATCTCCAATGAATATATATGTTATACATGTATGGTAAAACTTACTCTTACAGGGATCTGAGCTACAGAACGAGGTGGAGCACCTGAAGACAGATCTGTCTGAAGCCAGGGCCCAGTACAAGGATTGTGCACAGGAGGTAGGTGTGCTCATTGTTGGTGGTAGGGCCATCTGAAAAGGGATGGGGGGTTATCTGTTCATGCATTGAGTCAGTGTAAATGTGGCCTGACTCATGGTCAGTGCAAGTGTAACCTGTCCACAATGTCATTGTAATCATGGCCTGTCTCAGAGATCAGTGTAAGTGGGGCCTGTTCCTGAGGTCAGTGTAAATGGTCTTTCCCTGAGGTCAGTGTAAATGGTCTGTTCCTGAGGTTAGTGTAAGCCTGGTCTGTTCCCAACCTCCAGCATCAGTGTAAGTTCAGTCTGTCCCTTTAGTCAATGTAAGTTCGGTCTTTCCCTTGAGTCAGTGTAAGTGTGACCTGTCCCTTGAGTCATTGTAAGTGTGATCTGTCCCTTGAGTCCGTGTTAGTGTGGTCTGTCCCTTGAGTCATTGTAAGTGTGATCTGTCCCTTAAGTCAGTGTAAGTGTGGTCTGTGCCTTGAGTCAATGTAAGTGTGACCTGTCCCTTGAGTCAGTGTAAGTGTGACCTGTCTCTTGAGTCAGTGTAAGTGTGATCTGTCCCTTTAGTCAGTGTAAATGTGGTCTGTCCCTTGAGTCATTGTAAGTGTGATCTGTCCCTTGAGTCAGTGTAAGCTCAATCTTTCCCTTGAGTCAGTGTAAGTGTGATCTGTCCCTTGAGTCAGTGTAAGCTCAATCTTTCCCTTGAGTCAGTGTAAGTGTGGTCTGTCCCTTGAGTCAGTGTAAGTGTGGTCTGTCCCTTGAGTCATTGTAAATGTGATCTGTCCCTTGAGTCAGTGTAAGCTCAATCTTTCCCTTGAGTCAGTGTAAGTGTGATCTGTCCCTTGAGTCAGTGTAAGTATGGTCTGTCCCTTGAGTCATGGTGTGATCTGTCCCTTGAGTCAGTGTAAGTGTGATCTGTCCCTTAAGTCAGTGTAAGTGTGATCTGTCCCTTTAGTCAGTGTAAGTTTGATTTGTCTCTTGAGTCAGTGTAAGTGTGATCTGTCCCTTGAGTCCGTGTAAGTGTGGTCTGTCCCTTGAGTCCGTGTAAGTGTGGTCTGCCCCTTGAGTCATTGTAAATGTGATATGTCCCTTGAGTCAGTGGAAGTGTGGTCAGTCCCTTTAGTCAGTGTAAGTGTGATCTGTCCCTTTAGTCAGTGTAAGTGTGTCTGTCTATTGATACTCTGTGGTCTTTCTTTTGGGTCCATGTAAATGTGATCTCTCCCTAAAGTGAGTGTGGCCCGTTGTCTCCAAGGTCAGTGTCAGTGTGGCCTTTTTACGAGGTCAGTGCAAGTCTGGTCTGTCCAAAAGGTCATTGTAATTGTGGCTTGTCTCCAAGATCGGTGTAAGTGGTCTGTCCCTGAGGTGGCAAGAGGTTTGATATAACCCTTTAGAATAGTTATTTCAAGGCCCTACTAGTGGGGTGGATGTAGCCTATTCTTGTGTGGCCTTTGGTCACTTGTATAGATGGGTTTAGATAGGTATGGACCGTTCCCAGTATCTGACAGACGTGATCCACTGTGTCATTATAGAGAAGACTAATGTCTTTGAATGTTTTATAAGACATTGATAGGTGGAATGATGTCTAGTTTTACCTGGGGTATATAAAGACCAACACGACCTTCATGACATACAATACAACCTAACACACATCCTCAGAACACCATTTAACGGAATCTTAGTTATGCCACAATGATCTATTTCTTGCCAATTAATAAATGTTATCACAGCGTAGCTTTTAACTCAGTGTATATTAAAACTCGGTGATGTATGACATATCATACAATGAAATAGAAACAGTACACTACTGTGGTACGTAGCTGACTGATTAATGTCAGGAGTTACCAGGATCTGCTAAAAGACCAAGCCTGTATCAGGTATACAGGGGAGCGATTTTGCTCGTTGAAATGTAGTGCTTTACTTAGGACCAGACACTTCTTATGTAATAGGAAAACATGGACTTCTACCAGGGAGAAGATTTTGAGGAAAGGATACTGTCTTACCAATACTGGAGTGGCAGGGTAGGAATTCTGATTCATTTCTTTAGTTGCAGACATTGCACTTCAGGAAGGGTAGTAGTAACATGATCATTAGAGTTTTAATTTTGCTGACAGGCAGTTTTTCTTGAAAACAATAAACATTCGAATTGCCTTGTGTGTGAGACTTCACTTGTAAATAACTAATCTGAAACTGTTTTAAATAAAAAAAAAATGAATAAAAAACATTGCCATGGGTCAGGGACAAATAGGATACATCATGTCCCTGCATTGGTATAAAAAATGATATTGGTCTTTTCTAGTCAAATATGAAGTTGTTTTGAGTTAGTGATGATATAAACATATATTTTAGTTAAGGATAGAGCATTTGTATAGCTTTTTACCCATAATGTGTAAAATGATCAGTTAATCAGGTAGCATACAATATATTTCATTACAGATCCCTGGTATATAGAGTTACCAGGCAGTCAACACTACCATTACAAACATAATCCAATATTGACTTGCTACTCTATAGGAAGCGATGGCTGTACATATTGAAAATCTATGTAATTGGATAGTGTTCTCTAGTTAGGAATGCAATTTTGATTTCTTATGACTGAAGATAGATCACATGTTTCCGTGTTAAGTGTCACATTATAAGTTGTGTGGTAAAACTTGTCTGATAGCTCTTTTAAGCTTTGATTGGTACAGTACTGTTATGGTCCTTGGACAATGGTGGGGACAGTAACAAGAGACATTATCTTTGAGGATCATATTTATCTCCCTTGGATCTTGGAAGCATCTATTCAGGAAGAATGTTATCTTGTGATATCTACAGTGGAATGTAGAGAATTGGATCAAGTTTTCAGTTAGTTTTTGTTAGAACTTTAAATCAAGATTTTGCTAATTTAGTAAAAGAGGAACGTGTAGTTAGCAATGATAACAAGCATGGTCCCTTTGAACTTTTTACTGAGTATATAAAGATATAGGACATGGGTCTAATAAAGAACAGAGAAGCCACAGGGATGGTATGTAACTACAGCAAGTCATTGTTTTTAAAAGATATTAATTGGTATGAAAGGAGCGAGTTGAGAGTGTATCTGGATTAGATTGAGTCACTGTGATCTGGGAGATGTCAACCCAGTGTACACAGTAGTTCTTGTATTTCTTAAGCCAGGGCACATTTTTAAAAAAGACAAGGAATCAAACTGTGGTTGGGTAGTGGAAACACACTCGCTTTTCATATCTAGCAATCCAGGAATTTCACTCCCGGAACACAGACATGAAAAGGTAGGGGGTCTCCTGCCTGAACACATGGTTTTTTGCCCCTGTATTCCAGTTCCCCCTTCCACCTACCCCCACCCTCATCCCCCACATACAGAGTAAGACCTCTCATACACTTAGATTCAGGCCAACAAGGGTTATTAGTTTAAGTAGCAATGACTTGTTTTGCAGTTGTTGTAAAACAAATAAAGTTTATTTTAAGCTGTTTTTGTTCTACTCCTGTGAGATCAAATGTTTTCATCAGACTCAATTATCATGATTTACATAAAAGATATAATTTCATTGGCACTTGATTTTGTGAATAAATATACTACTTTCAATCTACTTATACTAAGTTTAACAGTTCATGGTTATATGAATTCATTGATTTTAAGTACCCACGAAATGAATGAAAATAAAACTCCCACAAAATTTAATGATTTCACAGTAACTTTGACATACAGTTTTATCTAAAACATTTACACTTCCTGTGATTATGATATATTTGAAGTTATATGATATCATCATGCTTTGTTTGTCAGTTGAATATGTATCATTTTCTTATACTGAAGATTTAATTTCTAACTCCATATCAGAGTGTGCTTTGTACTATCAAAAAAGTGTCCTGTTGAATGTAGAAAATCCAACTTTAGATGTAAAGAAATTTTATATCATACCAGATCATATGCCATCAAGCCCATGTCTTGCTTCTCTAAAATATACATTCATATATAAACAGGTGGGCATAATAGACTATGAAGATGTAGAGGAGTAATATCTTATATATTCCCAATATTTAGAACAAAAGCATGATTTACACAGAAACAACTCAAATGTAAGGCTATCTGATGATGAGAGTATGTGTCTGTGCAGATATTTTGTGTCTATAATAAGTAGTCTGTCTATACTATAGCTGGCCCACTATGAGGAGATGTTGATGACTTCAAATGTGTTTATAATTAGTAGTCTATCTGTCAATATTGTAGCTGGCCCAACATGAAGGGGAGTTTCTGACTTGTGTCTGTTGTCAATAGTTTATCTGTCAATATTGTAGCTGGCCCACCATGAGGAGAAGTTGATGCTGATGGAGCAAAGTCTACAAACCACACAGGACCAGCTTAGTCAGCGTGTCACTGAGGTTGTCAGGTATGAACAAATCAACCGTAAACTACAGATGGAGGTGAAGACACTTCGAGAGCGTAACACAAGCTATGAGGAGGAGATTGAGGAACAGAAGGTCATGATTGACAAGCTGAGAAAGGACCTGGTCAACTCCAAGGAAGACCATCACTCAGCTGTACAGGAGGGCCTCGCCTACAAACAACAAGCCCACAAATATGAGGTTGAGCTAGAGGGTGCACGGGAGCAGGAAAAGATGCTAAGTGACCAGGTACATAAGTTTGGGATTTTTTTCGTTTGAACATGTAATACTAATGTAGTGCTTTACCTGCTGGATCATGTGACTTACACTTCACTTTACAGGATTTTATACTTCCATAATCAGACATAATCAGATTCTGTTACATGTAATATACAGTAATAGCCTTGAAATATAAACAACATTTATCTCATCAGCAGTATTTTAAGGTAGTGAATACTTGTGCTGTAGCTAATAATAAAACATCTAACCCTTAAACAGTATCTTAAGTTACTGAATACTTGTGCTGTAGCTAATAATAAAACATACAACCATTTGATACACAGGTAGAACAGCAGGATCAGATTCTCACCCAGCTACAACAGGAGATCCGTGGTGAACGTGACAGACACCAGGAGACCGGTAAAAACCTACAAATGGCGCGTAAACACAACGCTGACCTTCAAGACGACTTTGAATCTGCCCAACGGCATATTAATGACCTCACAAACACGGTAAGCTGCCATAACTTGTGTTACTTATGTACAGTTGTATTTCATAACTTGTGTTACTTATGTACAGTTGTATTTCATAACTTGTGTTACTCATGTACAGTTGTATTTCATATCTTGTGTTACTCATGTACAGTTGTATTTCATAACTTGTGTTACTCATGTACAGTTGTATTTCATAACTTGTGTTACTTATGTACAGTTGTATTTCATAACTTGTGTTACTTATGTACAGTTGTATTTCATAACTTGTGTTACTTATGTACAGTTGTGTTTCATAACTTGTGTTACTTATGTACAGTTGTGTTTCATAACTTGTGTTACTTATGTACAGTTGTGTTTCATAACTTGTGTTACTTATGTACAGTTGTATTTCATAACTTGTGTTACTTATGTACAGTTGTATCTCAAAAGTTTCTATCAATGTTTTCAGTTTGTATTGCTGAATGAAACGGAACAGAACCAAATATGGTTATAATTCCTTCAGTAGAAAGGAACTAAGATTAAAGTCACATGATCTGTGGACAGACCTCACTTGGTACATACATTATCATTGTGTTTTTGTATCATTGATCTGTAGGTGAAAGACAAAGATGAGCTAGTCTCTAATCTACGTGCTGATATTGAGTCAATGCACCAGCGACAGATGGCTCTAAAGGAGGAGCTAGTGGAACGTGAAGGTCAACTGAGAGTAGCCAAGCTAAATCTACAGTCAGCCCAGAAACAGAGTGTGCATCACTCACAGGAGGTTAGTAACTGGAACATCTTATTAACACGTAACTCCAGATAACAGTTATGATTATCTTTAGACTTGTTGGTTATGAACATGTAAATAGTTTTGCTCCCCGAAAATTTTTAGGGGAGCATATAGTCACCCATGTTACTTCTAACTTTAATTGACGGTTGGATTTTGTGAACTTGTGACAGGTTTCCAGATACGAAGAGACACTGGGACAGCTACAGAATGATTTGGATCGTGTGCAGGAACAGTATAGAAAGACACATGCCTCGGTACGTATTCTTACACTATACTCTTTGATTTACTGATGTAAAGTTCTCTTTAAGAATAGATAATTTGTAAATATTTATGTTATAATATGATAGCCTGTGTATTATATATTTATGTTTTGACAGCTGATGGAGAATGAACAGAAAGTTCATGACCTAAAGGTCCAGCTAACCACAGTTCAAGGTCACCACAAGGAATCAATGGACCAGCTAGGAGAGAAGTCCCGCCAGGTGGCAGCACTGAAGACAGACCTAGCCAAATTGCAACAGCAGAACCAAGGAATGACAGATGAGATTGCTCTTTATGAGGAGAAGATGAGAGAACTAACTCAAGAACTCAGGAAAATGCAGGAGCTTAACAGGGCTTCAGAGGAAGAGGTAGGAACATTTTACACAATATCAGGGTTGCTTGACTTTCAATCTAAACATCAGGAAAGGTAATAGAATCAAACAACACACAGCAATGATTTATGGTAATGAAATATTCATTGTATTTTCTTCAGCTGGAGAACTTTGAGTTGCGATACCAGGACTTACAACAAGAGTTAATGAACTCACAAGATAAAAACCGACAATCCCTACAGGACCTAGGGGCACTGGAGGAGGAGTCTGTGGTTCTTAAGGTGGAGCTGAGTGCGATCCAGGAGAAGTACAAGGCCAAGATTGATGAGGTAAGGGATCTTACAGAGCTAATTAATGTAGTAAAGGTTACCTTCTTGGGGACATTGATAATCAAGATTCAAATTGACTGCATAATTTTTTCTTGTAAATTTATGATACTTAAATTGAAAGAAACAAACACCTGTAATATGTACTTAATTCTGACCACATCCTGCTAATTGTACTTTGTTTTCTTCTAGTCTGACAAGCTGCAAAATGAGGTAGAGTTACTGCGCCACAATTATCATAGTGCTAATGAGGAAATACAAGGGCTGAGAGTAGCACTGGAGGAGTCGCGCTCCAACGGTGACCGTCTTCACCGAGAAAGTGAGCTTGTGGTCCAGAACGTCAACACATGGGTTCAGGAACAAAAGTAAGCACATCACTGGAGAATTTATCAGAGCAGATGGAAATTGATTTTATTGTTTATTTCCTGACTTTAAATGTTAATATCAAACTTAGGATATTTTGCTCATAAGTGTTTGATCCAGCTTCAAATCAATGAAAGGAATTTGTAATTTTGTCTTTTATGTTACTATTGCCATATTAAACATTGGATATAAAAAGCAAAGCTTCCTGTACAGGATAAACATGTTACATACTATTTAATTGTTTCATTAATTGATGTTGTTTTCTGTTATGTGGAGTAGAATGATCCTTTTATATATTTTCCTTAGAACTGAAGAATTAGAAGCTAAGAATGATATTATGAAAACATATTTGATTTTCTCTAGGCATTGATAGGTGGTGGAGAATATTGGTTACAGAGGTACTATCTAAATGTTGTTTACATGTCACGTGGCATGTTGCTCGCTAAAAACTAATCAGAGAAATTATTAGGAAGTCATTTTCAGTTGTTAACCATCACATTATGATTTATACAACAGAAAGAATCACAGAATTTATTTAGAAATGTACAGTTATACTTTATTTATGCATTTTGATTTGTTCCACAGCTAAAAGTTGAGCATGTTTGTTACAAGTTATGATTGTTCTTTTGCATCCCTTTTCTTGAGTCAGAAACAGTACATTTCATGTGACTGTAATGGAAAGATTAGACTTGACGCACTAAAATCATTTTTTTAAATTCTAAACAAATGCATGCAAAGACATAAGCAATTATTCCATACAACATTGACAAGGAAATGTTTGTTTCCTCTGATATTTTATAATCCAGGTAGAAATTAAATCACACTAATTAACTTAAAAGCAGTTAACACAGCATTTACTGCATGGCATAATTCTGGCTGGTTAGGGTCACCAAGAGATATATACCATGGATAATAATGTGGTTAGGCAGGAAATTCCAGAAAACTGGGCTACCAGACACCAGCATTTAAGAACATATCGCTTAAGTTAATAAGTAGAAAGTAAGCCCCTAAAGTTAGTGATACATGTTAAGTAATTTTTTCAATGAATGACCAGTTTGTATAAAGATCGTTAAAGATAACAATGTAGATAATAAGATTCCACTCCAGTGTGAACATAATTAGATTGTACCCCAAAACTATTTCACAAGTAAAACTAGATTGTACCCTGAAACTATTTCACCTATATAACTAGATTGTACCCTGAAACTATTTCACAAGTAAAACTAGATTGTACGCTGAAACTATTTCACCTATATAACTAGATTGTACCCCGAAACTACTTCACTAGTAAAACTAGATTGTACCCTGAAACTATTTCACCTATATAACTAGATTGTACCCTGAAACTATTTCACAAGTAAAACTAGATTGTACGCTGAAACTATTTCACCTATATAACTAGATTGTACCTAAAACTATTTCACCTATATAATTAGATTGTACCCAAAACTATTTCACCTATATAATTAGATTGTACCTAAAACTATTTCACCTATATAACTAGATTGTACCTAAAACTATTTCACCTATATAATTAGATTGTACCTAAAACTATTTCACCTATATAATTAGATTGTACCCAAAACTATTTCACCTATATAATTAGATTGTACCCAAAACTATTTCACCTATATAATTAGATTGTACCCAAAACTATTTCACCTATATAATTAGATTGTACCTAAAACTATTTCACCTATATAATTAGATTGTACCCAAAACTATTTCACCTATATAATTAGATTGTACCCAAAACTATTTCACCTATATAATTAGATTGTACCCAAAACTATTTCACCTATATAATTAGATTGTACCCAAAACTATTTCACCTATATAATTAGATTGTACCCAAAACTATTTCACCTATATAATTAGATTGTACCCAAAACTATTTCGCCAGTATAAATCAGTTGTACCTCTTAAACTTTTTCACAAGTATAACATGAATGTACTTTGAAAGTATTTTACCAATATACGTGCTGATTAAATCTGCTGTATTTTTGAGTTGTTTCTGACTTGTTAATGAGTTCTTTGTTGCCTGGTGTTGGATTGTTGAAGCATGCTGTTATTTGTATTACTCTATTATCTTACAGGCTTGCGAATGAAAAACTGGGAAACAAAATTAGGTATGGTGTGTGATATAACCCTTACTACTGACCACATTGTAACCAGTAATCCTTCATACTTCAAATTTGATTGAAAATTTAGTTCTAGTTTTGATATGATTTCATGAATAATTATGAGTTTGACAAAGTTTTATTAGCCAACTTAAATTTCATTCTCTCTTGCTAGTCCCATTTGTAGAACTTTTTGATATTTGGTAAGAAATGAATTCAGTGTTCTATTATCCAACTTCCTTCATTTGACAATTGTCATGATCGCACAAAAAATTACTTGCCAAGAATTAAGGCAAGGATGTTAAACAAACATTACGGTACAGCAAAGTTGATTGTCCCAAACTTGTGATGTGAAAGTTAGTAGACCTGAAAGAAAATTGGTATAAGTTTAACACATATTAACACTGAAACAAGAATGTTGGTCCTTCTGTCTCTTTCTATTTACTAATGATTGAAAATGAAATAAAAGTCAACATTTTCTCTATGAAGACTTTGTTCATAAGCATGTTTATAGTCATCTAATGCTCTGTAATAAGATTTCTGTCTATAAATCTGAATTGCTTTTGAATATGTTGAATACCATTGTGCACAAGATCATTTTATGTAAAGTCATTGCCTTACCCTTACCCTGTCTCTGTAAACTGTTCATAATTTGTATGTTTTCCTATAAGATATATATATATGTAATGCAGAGTAAGGCTAGCATTCAGCTTTTTATTATTGTCTGTCTCTGGTATATTAACATAGAATTGGCATGAAGCTATTGAAACAGAATACATGGAATGTGATATAAGATAGCAGTCAGCTTTCTGTATATGCAAACTCATTGATATTCTGCATTCTTCATTTGTTTATTTGTAAGTTTCTATCTATCAATATATATATGATTTTTCAATATTATTTTTCAGAGAACAAAGTAAAGCTATTATGACACTCACTGCAGAAAAAGAGTAAGTATCTTCTCTGTAAATAGAATTATTACATTTGTGAAAATAAAGTTAGGTAATCCATACAAATTAAACAGTTCACATAGAGATACAAAGTGACATGACTATACCCATTTTGTTACAGACAATTACTGGAACAGGTTGCTAAGCTACAGAAACAAATGAACAAGATGAAGATAGAGCTAGATGAAAGGAGAGACGACTCTGATAGATTCAAGGTCAGAGTTTGTGTGTAATTCTTTACAAAAAAATATTTTAAAAAATATGATGGGGTTCAAGGTCATCTTGAATTGATGTGTCATTCTTTACGAACCATTATCATAAAAGTAAGCTATGACTTAAAACATTAACATAAGACATAAGACATACAGTGTATATGGATATGGCTAAAATGAAAAAATCATAGACTGGCTTCATAAATTACATATGAAACGATAACCTATGTAAAATACAACATATATATATATATATTGATAAGAGATACGTGCAGAAAATCAAATGCATTGTTTGTACACTGTTATACTAACTGTCATACAGGCGCTGCAGAATCATTCATCACACCAACAGGTGCTACTGAACCAGCTCAGGAACAGATTGGAACAACATGAGTATGTATAACTATACACAGACTCAATTTTCGTAGATTTTCAAAAAAACTTTATGGTGGACTCTTGACTTCGTGGGTGGATATAGTTCAATAGATCTACTTCACACTAATTTTAACAATTTGTGGAATTTGTTGATTTAAAACACCCAACGAAATCAGCGAGTATAAATCCGCCTTTAAAAATTAACGATTTTATGGGAAATAATTCCATTTCTCAAGGTTTCAGGTGTAACAAGAAATCCACATTACCTCTAATACATTTAGATAGGCAATGATATACTGTATCTACATGTGAGTTCCAAGTCCTGTTCTCATAGAATTTCTGGAAATACTTTAATTTTACATTGTGGGACCCATTTTGTTTTTTGCAATAAAGTTAAAAAGAACTCATTAAGATAAACTGTAGATTTAGCACGGGGATGGTTATTACATATTAACTGATAAGTATATAAAAAAAGTATTGTATAAATACCTTAAATACGTGTTATCAGATTGCCTGTCTCATCTGTCTCAGTCCTTTACTTGTGACCCTCTTAGTTGATAATGATAATGTGACCCTTGACCTCTTTTGTCACACAGGTCTGACCAGGATCAGGAGGTTCAAGGCAAAATTGCCACAATAGAGGACCTGCACACTCGCCTTAAAGTCAACATAGATAACATCCAGCTTCTTAACCAACAGGTAAGGTCAAACTTGTACCTAGTCCTGTTAGTAAACCTGACAGTTTTAATTAGGATTAAAAAGAATGGAAGATTGAACACCTACATTTTGTCAGGTCTGTATGAGGTTTTTCAGTTGATTTTATATTTCAATAATAAACTTTAAACCTGTTGAATTTTTATCTACAGTTGGGTACACTACAGAAAGAGAATCACCGCCTGAGGAACGACCTTGAGAGAGAAATGGCAGCACGACAGACCCTCGAGTTACAGGTGGAGAGTAAGGAACAGACAATTGGCAGTCTTAAGTCGCAGCTGGAAGCCCGCAAACACTTACTCATTGAGCAAAGCTCTCCATATAAAGAGATGGAGAAACCAGTAAGTAATGCTAGGCTATTAGGAGTTTGGTGTGAGAAGATCCACATTTTGTAGTCCCTCATGGCTTCCATAGTTTTCTTGTGAATGTCTTTCAATGTTAGACAAATGCTGCCTTTGCCTGGTGCGTCATTGGTGAAAATCAATGTTCAATTTTATATCACTATTTAAACAGAACTCCCAAAAAAATTCTTTATCACTTTTCAAATATTTTTTACTCAGAAAATTTGAATTTAATCTATATTTTACAACTGCTGGATATGAACTAAGAATGGAAATGAGTTAGAAGCTTATATTTATTCCTCTCCTCAAATAATCAATATCTATTAAAGAGAATTTCATTGACTTTTGTGTGACTGTCTGTAACCATATAGTTCATCTAGTGCATGCTGCACATGATTGTCACGGTACAATGGTTAGTAGTGTGTGTGTGATGCCTCTGGTAGGTCTAGCTTGTTAGTGTGTCACATGACTTATTACAGGACAAAGTAGACATCAAGGATTTACAAATGGATAAGGAGCAGGTAACTCTAATTCTAGAAAAGTATTAATCACGGAAACGTAGCAGAATTAACACTCAGTCTAGAGAACTTACTAACTGCACCTGATACTTCCAGAGTTTTATATTCAGACCTTGAATTCTCATAAGTAAATGTTTAGCCAGTAATTAAGATGTTTTCAACAGACTAGAATTCACAGTACTGTATGAATGTACTTTGAAGAAAAGCTGTTTGTATGACTATTTCATGCATTATATAAATGTAACAAATTAGAATATAATTAGAGTATATATGATTATAACAAAAAGGTAAAACGTTCTGTAATATTGAACATTACAAATAATTACAGAAACCCTGATATTTAGTATTTCACAGTAGTCTACAGAATATTACCAGTATAGACTTTTACATCACTCTGTACTCTCTGTCTAGTAGTGTAGCTAGGTCATATACTCTACCAACCATGGTTCTCTGTTGTATGATGTTCAGTAGTGTATATAGATAACACCCTCTGGCTACCTTGGTTCTCTGTTGTAGGATGTCTAATAGTGTAGCTAGGTCATATATTCTACCTACCATGGTTCTCTGTTGTAGGATGTCTAATAGTGTATATAGATAACACCCTCTGGCTACCATGGTTCTCTGTTGTAGGATGTCTAATAGTGTAGCTAGGTCATATATTCTACCTACCATGGTTCTCTGTTGTAGGATGTCTAATAGTGTATATAGATAACACCCTCTGGCTACCATGGTTCTCTGTTGTAGGATGTCTAATAGTGTAGCTAGGTCATATATTCTACCTACCATGGTTCTCTGTTGTAGGATGTCTAATAGTGTATATAGATAACACCCTCTGGCTACCATGGTTCTCTGTTGTAGGATGTCTAATAGTGTATATAGATAACACACTCTGGCTACCATGGTTCTGTTGTAGGATGTCTAATAGTGTATATAGATAACACCCTCTGGCTACCATGGTTCTCTGTTGTAGGATGTCTAATAGTGTATATAGATAACACCCTCTGGCTACCATGGTTCTCTGTTGTAGGATGTCTAATAGTGTATATAGATAACACACTCTGGCTACCATGGTTCTCTGTTGTAGGATGTCTAATAGTGTATATAGATAACACCCTCTGGCTACCATGGTTCTCTGTTGTAGGATGTCTAATAGTGTATATAGATAACACCCTCTGGCTACCATGGTTCTCTGTTGTAGGATGTCTAATAGTGTATATAGATAACACCCTCTACCTACCATGGTTCTCTGTTGTAGGATGTCTAATAGTGTATATAGATAACACACTCTGGCTACCATGGTTCTCTGTTGTAGGATGTCTAATAGTGTATATAGATCACATACTCTGGCTACCTTGGTTCTCTGTTGTAGGATGTCTAATAGTGTATATAGAGAACACCCTCTGGCTACCATGGTTCTCTGTTGTATGATGTCTAATATTGTAGCTAGGTCACATGTTGTATCCACTTAGTGATGATTTCACAGTGACATAGTCGAAATTCTCACTGGGCCAGTGACATAAATCTTTATCTCATTATGATGTTATATAATTGACTTTATTATTATTCATTGTCCCATTGTGCATTTTTTGCACAATTTTCCCTCAATGTTTCCTTGTATGTGTTTTTCCCCACAATATTCCCTGTATGTATTTTTCCCCACAACATTCCCTAAGTGTGTTTTTCCACAATATTCCCTAAGTGTGTTTTTCCCACAGTTGTCCCTGCACATGTTTTCCCCACAATTGTCCCAGTACATGTTTTTCCCACATGTTTCCCTGTGTGTATTTCCCACAGTACTATTCTTGGATATTTCCCACAATCTTTTCTGTATGTATTTTTCTTGGTATTTTATGCAATAATCCTTGTATGTTATTTACTCAGAATTTTCCCTTTATGTATTTTTCCCACAATTTCCCCAGTTTTCCCTGTTTCTTCTGAATGTTATTTTGTTTCTTTATACAATTGACCAGATGTTATGTCCTACAATAGTTGTTAGTTCTTTTTACGTGCCAAACACCACCAAATGTCATATCTTATCATCTCCATCGTCAATATGGCTTAAACAATATTTAGAAGTGATGAATGCTGACAGGAGCATTTTTTGGAGACTCTTGAATAAAACAGAAACAAAAGCAAAACAAAAACAATTATCTTTTCAGTTTGCTAAATACCCTTTAAAGATTTTTTCACCTTCTCACATTTTGCTGGGGAAGGACCTCATAATCTAGAAACGAACTTTTGATTTTTTAAAACCACCATGGATTTCTCTCGTTTTTTTTCACAGACAGATATACAGTACAATCTAAGTCTGTGGTTTGACATATAGAAATAGTTGTGAGTGGTTTACTGTCCTTTGTCATGCCTCATTAAGTATAAACATAACGTTTTGAGATGTTGTTGTTTTACAGCGGAGGGCCTTTGGTAAGGGATTAGATGATGCAGGGATCTCAAACCCACAAGATCTAGACAAGAACTACTGGATACAACGAGTCGGAGAGGTAAGGTTCCCGCCAAATTCAGATTTTTCAAATTGTCAATAGGAAATTACAGCAAAGCTAGAATCAGGAAAACTTTGCAGATTTTTCAATACATATGTATTGTATTGATTGGATTACTACTTTTCACTGGCTGACTTTTCCATCAGCAATTTTATTATAGTACTACATATCTTAGAGACTTAAATCAGAGATTATCACCTGGTGAAATGCACCAAGGCCAGCAGTGGAGCAAACTTAGACACTTAAATCAGAGATTGTCACTTGGTAACATTTAGCAAGGCCAGCAGTAGGGCAAACTTTGAGACTTAAATCAGAGATTGTCACCCGTATAACACCTATCGGGGCCAGCAGTGGGGTAAATTTAGAGACTTAAATCAGAGATTGTCACTGGGTAACATTGAGCAAGGCCAGCAGTGGGGCAAACTTAGAGACTTAAACCAGAGATTGTAACTTGGGGTAAGATTATACAGGAGGGTTAAAGTAGAGATTGTCACTTGGTAACATGTATTTAGGATAGCAGTAGGGTAAAAGTAGAGATTGTCACGTGGTAACATGTACTTAGGATAGCAGTAGGGTAAAAGTAGAGATTGTCACTTGGTAACATGTACTTAGGGTAGCAGTAGGGCAAAAGTAGAGATTGTCACGTGGTAACATGTACTTAGGGTAGCAGTAGGGTAAAAGTAGAGATTGTCACGTGGTAACATGTACTTAGGGTAGCAGTAGGGTAAAAGTAGAGAATGTCATGTGGTAACATGTACTTACAGTAGCAGTAGGGTAAAAGTAGAGACTTTGATCAGTGATCGTTCATATTTCATAATAATAGCAAAAGCCATATAACATTTTTATACTAGAGGAAACCTCACTTAGATATTGACAACAAATCACTCTTAAAATCTAACAAGGACATAGCTCTAGAAGTAGGAGGTGATTAGCTAGTATATATTGATAAGAAAAAAATTGAAGTAGTTAGTGTGCGTTGTAGGTTATATAAGTATAAACGTTGATATACACCTGTATACCACTGTATGTATGTTTGTTTTGTTGTCACAGCAGTACCCCGCCACATACTAGGTTGGTTTTTCTCCCAGTAGTCTAGTGTGGAATGCGTTAGATGTAATAATGCAGATAGTTGCTTATACTCTAAATTGATTGATGACATCTGTTTGCTGTGTCAAGTTTTTTAAAAAGTGATTTTGTTTTGGTTACATGATGAGAAAAGTTTTGATTTCTGTTCTTCAATAGTAAGACATCAAATGTAACATCAGAGTTTATTATTTAACCTTTAACTAATGATTAACAGTTTGTGTTGTTGAAATCAAATGTTTAAAATAATAACATGATATTTCGAACAATGTTTAAATGTAAGAGAAAAGAGGCATGATTCATTCAGCGATAGCATGCTTACTATACCTCTTAACTTCACAAATGTATTGGTGTCGGTACAATAAAAAATGCACAAACTCTCCGAGATGCTTTCTGTAGATAGTCTTCATTATGTTGACAACTGAGAGTGCTTAAATTTATTGCCCAATTCTTACAAAAAAGATCACTTCATAAACACAACCGCTCATTTTGATTAACAGCTTACTTGGAGAATTGATAGATGGTTTGTGTTGAGCTAGAAGATTTCATTTGTAAAATGTGTGTTGGAAGGTATATTCGCTTGAGATTTCATTCAAATGTCTGGGTAGATAACTCAATATTTGTATATGTCAGGGTATATCAAGAAATTTTATTTATTAGTCAGGGTAGGTAACTCTTGAGATTTATATTTGTATGTCAGGGTAGATAAATCTTGAGATTTATTTGTATGTCAGGGTGTATATACTGAATGAATTAAGGAAAAGTACTACAAGATAAAGAACATTGTGCATATTGAAAATGGAACTCTCTCTTGCAATAAAAACTGATGCAATAATATCCTTTATTACATGTAGCTTTATTGTGACAAAGACATTACCAATCTGACCTCTGACCCCATGTTTTGTCTCTTTCCACAGCTTTCCATACAGCTACAGCAAAGCAGTGAGTATTGGTCTGACAAAGTTCGTGACCTCTCTGGCCAGCTAGGCAAGGCTCGGGCCATTCCAACGTAAAGTCAACTACAATGATTTAAAGTCAACTGTCCTTGCTGACTTATAGACTGTGTGTATGAGGAGGCTACATTCCTGTGATATGGGGGTGGCAGTGTTAATTGATACTCACTAGCCAATACAGGATCCTCTAGTCTACAAAACGTGAAATCTTGTAGACTAAGGTCAACATTTTGCCAGAACTCTTTCAAATGTACAACAAATTGTATGATTTTATTGTTAGATCTGCCGATGTCCGTCCATACAAGTGTGGTCTAGTGAACTATTAGCTCTGTTTTTACCTCTACTTTTAGTCAGTCTGTTTAGGGACCAGTCATTTACTGTACAAAAACTGTAGGTCATTACGTCTACCGAGCCAAAGCATGATAGGTTTGGTATATTTGTTATAATTATTGTATTTATATAAGCATGTCTGTTAAGTATGAAAGACAACAAAGAAATCATACCAAATATTCAAATATTTTAAAATCAATTTTCTAAATCATGTCCTAAGCTATTTGCACAGACAAATAAATGTAGAAATAAGCATAGAAGATGTAAATAATAAGTCAGTAATCAACTTTTCGTCCATGTGCTTGTGTGATTGTGATAGATGAAGTAGTAGAGATACAGTTCAGAATACACCGCCAGTATTTATATAGGCAGCCATCACAGGGCATAGGTGATATCCCATGATAGCATTCATATTGTGCTGAATCTTTATTTCTGTTCCTAGATTCTGTTCCACAAATTGGTTATTAGTCAGATTCCTTTATATGGTTTCCTATATAGTAATTTATGAAGTTGTTATTTGATTGTAGTTTTCTTTTTGTATTTGTCTTCTATACTACTGGTAGTATTGTCTATAGCCTGTGTAGTTGTGTAAAGGTGCATCAGGCACAAACTAGCGTCCATCATTCATTGGTCTGTGATAACACTTTACTGAATATTTGAGTTTTAATCACATTTTATTAAGATATTACTGTTAATAGCATTTATTTTGTAATCTTTGAAGATATAGATCTCAAATTCACAAATGTTGATCAAGGTCATATTGCATAAATCTAGGTCACAGCTTAAACAGTTTATTTCGACCAAGGTCATAACTTTTTGACCAAGGCCTTTTCATTTTGTGTTGACAAAGGTCACATTCTATTGAAAGGTCGCGCGCTGTTGTACAAAGTTGATCGACACTACTTTAGAAAGTTCCAGATTCCTTGATAGATCACTTAGCTGGCTATTTATTATTGTTTGTTAGTGGTAAGACAAGGCGATGTATTAAATCTACCTACTGTTATTACCAATCACAATTTTCTGACAAGATTCAGGCTTGCGCTGTAGTCACTAGTAGTGTGTGCTTTGTAATCAATTTTTAACATCGAAATGTTCACATGGAGAGTGAATCCATGAACTATGACCTATGCATCAATTTGTAATACAAGGTCAGACATAAGCTTTGCATGATATTGTGGAGAGAACATGGGAGGCGTATTGTGAAATCCATTCCCCTAGCAGCTGTGATGTCGCCTGACAAAGTGTAAAACATGGGAGATTGATGTATGACTATTTATATAAGATTTGTGATTGCCTGTCTCACATTGAAATTTATATCTATATACATTTTTTGTCATTTTACAATAAAATCCAGTCAGAACTGGTCATACAAATTTGAAGTGGTTGTCTTTATATTTTTGAGTACATGTATCAATTTTATTTTACTGCCATTAAGTATGATGTGTGCGAGGGAGAATGACTGCCATCCAGGAGGTTCAACTCACAATGTTCTATCAAGGAGTTCTAAATATAGATATATAAATAGAGGTCTCTGTTTAAAGGTCTCATGGAACAGATTTGTTACAAAATATAACCTAAATATCTGGTACAGGATTCTCAGTTTCTTTTTTGGATAACATCCCTGCATTTCAGGGTCATATGTAAGATGAATCAAATATATGAAAACATTTTATATGTTTTATAGTCTATAGTCATGACACTTGGCCTGTGGGTGTGTAGAGCAAAGGAATTTTTTCAGATATTTCATCATCACCAATTTTCATTATCATATCTTATAGTAGGCCTGGATCATTGATGTATGGCCTCAGCCATATAGTTAAAGCACTGATTTTGATAGATCCAAGTCACTGTTTAAAGTTACTGTTTTAGAATAAAAACGAATCTTGGATTGTATCTGTACTAATAGACTGAAGGACTCTCAAGTCAAAATGGAGTTTTCAAAGTATAGACAGGGACCAACCAACTTTGTAAAAGTACAAGAATAGTTCAACAAATACCTGTTGAGGAAGTTTTAATTAAAATTGATCTCGACCATTATGATGAATCTGGTTTGACTACATCTTTCAATAACATGTACAATGTACCTGTTATGAACATACTTGCCAACTTTTTGAAATTCTCATGGGGGAGAAAAGTACGTGAACGACATTTTCAACTCGGTCGCTCAGTTTCGCGTTATCAGGAATAACCACATCATCATGAATTTGCATAATCCAGTACTGTTTTATCCTGCAATAAGCTCATGCCATATAATAAGCCCATCCATGTCTTTTTCAGATATTTCAAAATTCACTGCCCTACATAAACTATCCCTGCATTCTGCAACAAGCTCACCCCCACATATTGTTCAATATCACTAAACACCGGCTTCCTGGGCTTATTGCAGAGTAAATACAGTAAACGTTCCAATCAAAGCATTTGAGATCACTCCAGTATAGACCTACAGAAATAACAACATTTGATGTTTTAGCTATTTGTTTCATTTAACAAATTTGATCAATTCTTCTACAACAGAATTGAGAAATTAATGTGATTTATTTGCATCAAATGTTTCTTTCTGATGGAAAATTTAAAATAACCAGACAAGTGCAATTGGTTTTTAAGTTTTTAATAATCAAATCTTGCATTGATATTGGATGCTTTTTTATAGAAATAAATTATATCAAAATAGAGATCTCACTCTGGCTCTGAACACAATTCCCTAAAGAAAAAAAAATAACAACAACTACACAATATAATCTTGCATCCAAACCATTAGAAACATGTCACTAATTTAAATAATTTAATTTTATCGCATAGAAACTCGGTCTAATCTCTGAAGATAGAGGGGGAACATGACAGTTCCTTATTGTAGCTAACACATGCAGACTTCGCGGTCGCTAAAGTCGTTGTCGATGGCTTATAGTTGTAGCAGTCCTCATCCCTGTTCAGCTTGCAGGTCAGTAAAGCTGACAAAGTTGACTGGTCTAAGTGATCGTTAGTCCGTTTGTACCTTCCGTAGCACTGAAAACACTCGTTCACAGTCAGCGTTGCTGTTCGGCAGGGTACACAGTGATGTGGCCATTTTGTACAAAATGGGGAATCGCATGGACATGAACACTTTGTAAGAGAAAGGGAAAAAACGCTCCACGGGATGATATATTATCTTGGATTTTGCCCGTTTAAGTTGCCATTGGTATTTTCCAGAAAGTACTTTTTCCAATGGCCCCATGTGCTAGTTAGATTTTGAGACAAAAGGAAATAGACTGACCAATGGCGATTGTTTTTTTTTTTTATTTTTTTTTAACTTCTCGCCGAAAGGACATTCTCCTACTGAAACAGGTCAGACGATCATCGAGACTGCCATTTTGGATTTTATATTTCATGGTCATTTTCACGATGTATTTGTAAGGAATTACTGGGCGGATCTTTATCAAACTTCGTATGTAGCTTTCCTATATGTTCAACGAAGGTACCGTTTAATTCCTTCACACACCGATATAGCAATTAACTTCAAAGAAAAAAAAGAAGAGATGGAACTTGTATATATAGAATCTATCCAAATGATCATGTAATGGCGAGTGTCAATGTCCATTGTTTCCGTTGATGGCACTAAATGACGAAATGTGTGGAAGTGTTGCCTTTTAAGAGAGGTTATTCTCAGGAAAATGTTACATGTGGTATTGTAGTGTTGAAAGTGATGAAGAGAAATAACCAAATATGGACAGAAATATTAAAAGTTGAGGACGCAAAAATTTCTAAACAGTAGAGCGTGACGATGGAATCGCGTCTAAGTAAACAGTGGGTGTGTTCGTCTGTACCACTGTGCTAAATCAGATATAGGGAACACACACACACCTCCTCCTCCCTTAAACTTTAACTCTATACTGAAGTTTCTGATCTTTTTTTACGGGCAGATGAAAGAATGTCAAAATGCGTAAAATTTAAATTTGCATCGTGTTCCCCGATATAAACCCATTATCAGAAGGGTAACATATATGTCCGTCAGTAAATGTCGCGCATTGCTCGCGTTACCATCACGTGCTGTGAGCCACAGAAACGGCAAAATATCCACGAAAGCAAAACATGTAGAAATGGTAAACATTACCGCGGACTTTGATATATCGAAGTCTGTGATATTATCATTAGATGACCTTGTTATGATATCCTGAGTCGTTAAATAATTGGATTAGCGTGCAACATGGTGTCTGTCATTGGCTGTAACGTTGATTGATGAAAAGGGGAAACCTGCACTGACTGAACTTTACACTGACGTAGGCATACGCTAAAATTAGCTTTCTCATAGGATGGATTCACGCCCACTGATTGGCCGTAAGAGTGGACGTAAAACCTGTTAAATAAATAAATCGGGTATATCCTACATTTTTGAAGTTTAATTGGTGTTTTAATCGAAACCATGTCAGCTCATTGTGTACGTACACGTGTTTGTATCATATACAACAATTTCATGAAGATCGAGCCTTAGTCTGCCCATGGACGTGTAATATTATCTGTATTGTAAGTCCCTGATCTGTCCCTTATTAAACCCCCTTGGAAAAAGCTTCAGACACCTATGGATCCGAAGATCATGGTCATAGCAATTTTGTGTTAAGGCTTTGAATGAGAAGACCATGGTGCGAAAATACGACAACGCGACATATAATTCCTTTTCGGATCACTGATTAAAAGCGAGCTAAGGGGTGTAACTCTTCATGACTTAGTGTCTTCTGAGATGGCGTTAGAATCGTTCTGAACACCCAGAGTTACTTCCCTTAGTTTCACTCAAAAGCCATGAATGATTTGGTATGTATTGTTCTTCTCGTAAGTTATCTTGCGCAACAAACATTTTGAAATACTTGTAAACACAAAGGATTGGGTCTTTTTGTAAAGAGATAAACAAAAGTAAAGTTATAGTATATAGAATTATATCTACAACAGAAGTCAAAATATTTTATTTCCAACATACATAGCTGCATTGGATACATCTCAAGTGGTCTTCTCTTCTGAAAGGCCGAAATGCCGTAAAAGTGGACGTAAAACAATTGAAATAAATAAGTATCTTCCATTGGAGCTGGCGAAAATTACGGACAATCATTCAAAATATTGATGATGATCTAAAGACAAAGAACTGGGTAGAATACGATAACTGGAAGTTATATCAGAGCATGTGGAAACAAATAAAATATAGTGTAACCTCTCTAACGTTAAAATGTGAAATCTCATTAACGTTAAAAGTGTAACCTTAGTAACGTTAAAAAGTGTAACCTCAGTAACGGTAAAGAGTGTAACCTTAGTAACGTTAAAAAGTGTAACTTTATTAACCTTAAAAAGTGTAACCTCAGTGACGTTAAAAAGTGTAGCCTCAGTGACGTTAAAAAGTGTAACATCAGTGACGTTAAAAAGTGTAACCTTAGCGACGTTAAGAAGTGTCGCCTCTGTAACGCTAAAAAGTGTAACCATAGCTACGTTAAAAAGTGTAACCTTAGCGACGTTAAAAAGTGTAACCTTAGTAACGTTAAAAAGTGTAACTTTATTAACCTTAAAAAGTGTAACCTCAGTGACGTTAAAAAGTGTAGCCTCAGTGACGTTAAAAAGTGTAACATCAGTGACGTTAAAAAGTGTAACATCAGTGACGTTAAAAAGTGTAACATCAGTAACGGTAAAGAGTGTAACCTTAGTAACGTTAAAAAGTGTAACTTTATTAACCTTAAAAAGTGTAACCTCAGTGACGTTAAAAAGTGTAGCCTCAGTGACGTTAAAAAGTGTAACATCAGTGACGTTAAAAAGTGTAACCTTAGCGACGTTAAGAAGTGTAGCCTCTGTAACGCTAAAAAGTGTAACCATAGCTACGTTAAAAAGTGTAACCTTAGCGACGTTAAAAAGTGTAACCTTAGTAACGTTTAAAAGTGTAACTTTATTAACCTTAAAAAGTGTAACCTCAGTGACGTTAAAAAGTGTAGCCTCAGTGACGTTAAAAAGTGTAACATCAGTGACGTTAAAAAGTGTAACATCAGTGACGTTAAAAAGTGTAACATCAGTGACGTTAAAAAGTGTAACATCAGTGACGTTAAAAAGTGTAACATCAGTGACGTTAAGAAGTGTAGCCTCTGTAACGCTAAAAAGTGTAACCATAGCGACGTTAAAAAGTGTAACCTTAGCGACGTTAAAAAGTATTACCTTGGTAACGTTAAAAAGTGTTACCTCAGTGAAAGTAATAGCGAGCTTAGACAGTGCTGGCGAGCTGATGCCATTGATAGTAGTGGCGAGTTAATGCTATTGACAGTATTTGCGAGGTAAATCCTATCGCCAGCACTGGCGATATTAAGACTATGACAGTTCTGGTGATATTAGGGCTATTGACATTAATGGAGATATTAAGACTATGACAGTATTGGTGATATTCGGGCTATTGACGTTAATGGCGATCTATAGACTATGACAGTACTGGTGATATTCGGGCTATTGACATTAATGGCGATCTATAGACTATGACAGTACTGGCGATATTCTGGCTATTGACATTAATGGCGATCTATAGACTATGACAGTACTGGCGATATTCGGGTTATTGACATTAATGGCGTTCTATAGATTATGACAGTACTGGCGATATTCGGGCTATTGACATTAATGGCGTTCTATAGACTATGGCAGTCCTGGTGATATTCGGGCTATTGACATTAATGGCGATCTATAGACTATGACAGTACTGGTGATATTCTGGCTATTGACATTAATGGCGTTCTATAGACTATGACAGTACTGGCGATATTCTGGCTATTGACATTAATGGCGTTATATAGACTATGACAGTACTGGCGATATTCTGGCTATTGACATTAATGGCGATCTATAGACTATGACAGTACTGGCGATATTCGGGCTATTGACATTAATGGCGATCTATAGACTATGACAGTACTGGCGATATTCGGGCTATTGACATTAATGGCGTTATATAGACTATGACAGTACTGGCGATATTCTGGCTATTGACATTAATGGCGATCTATAGACTATGACAGTACTGGTGATATTCGGGCTATTGACATTAATGGCGATCTATAGACTATGACAGTACTGGTGATATTCTGGCTATTGACATTAATGGCGATCTATAGACTATGACAGTACTGGTGATATTCGGGCTATTGACATTAATGGCGATCTATAGACTATGACAGTACTGGTGATATTCGGGCTATTGACAGTACTTGTTACATTTAAGCCATCTCACAGTCTTTGAAATATTGATCCCTTTTCCATGTAAAACCCCGATATGGTCGTTCTTACCGTTGGCTACAATAGTCTGGCTGATTAGATACAATGTATATGGTTTTTTTGTTAAGTGGATAATTAATAGGTGTACCTAGTGTTTACCAAAGCACAATGAGAGCTCGGACTTAACTACTATGTCCATTTTATTATATTAAGAACTGAACATTTACATCTAAAAGCTGTCATATATAAATCATATTCATATCAGATATTAATGTGACGGTCTCCATCGGCCATCTGATAATTGTTTAGTTGAATATTCTATGCTAGAACACCTATTTAGGGCAAAGCTCGCTGTCGACCATCCGTGCGGCGGTGTCATGACGTCAACCCGACCGTAGAGTGATCTTTGACCTGGTCGTCGTCCTGAGGTGCATTCACCTACCAAAGGGTTTGTTTACACAAACAAATTTCTTGTTTTGTTGACCTTGGAAGTACAGGCTGTATTTTCTCGTCTGTTGACGGAAGTCAATGCTGTCTTGTCTAAGTTAACCAATTACATCCCATAACGGATATTATGGACAGATGTGTCGATGGATAGAAACTAGACTTTTAGGTTATCATTGTATGGGAGGGCACTTAGGACAAGATGGCACGAGAAACCACGACACCCAGAAACAGGAAATGGACAAGCGTGATACACCACAGCTGGATCCGGTCTCGGAAACGTGTTCTATTCATCTACAAATCTCGCCCATAGTTGAATTGAGCACTTTTAACCGAGTTAGGTGTATACAAATATACAAATAATTCCAATTTCTTAATTAAATCTAAGATCCATTTGAAACTTGGAAGGCATTTCTAATATTGTATTCTTTCATGGCAGTATTAGATGCTTCTATTTGTTCCAAGCTTGTCAGCATTTTGCCACGATATGACTTTAACAGTTCCCAACCTATTCCTTTCACACTTACATCTTTCGTAAGCGGCGATTAATGTTAAAACATCACTTTTAAATGTTAAAACATACCGAGATATGCCGACTTTATATGTTAAAAACTAATGACGATGTATGCTGGCTAGGTAATAATGCCGGGATAAGTCGACCTGCTGGCTAGATATCGACACCGAGACTTGCTGGCTAAGTGTTGATATCGAGATACTATGTGATAATACCGCAATATATTGACCTTCTAACTAGGTTTTAATACTGGGATATGTCGATATGCTGACTAGGTTATTATACCGAAATATGTCGACCTCCTAGGTCATAGGACCAGGATGTGTCGACCTGCTCTCTTGGTGATAATACCGGGATATGTCGACTTTTTAGCAAGGTATTATTACCGAGATACATCGACTTCCTGGCTAGGTGTTATTACCGAGATACATCGACCTCTTGGCTAGGTGTTGATACCGAGATACATCGACTCCCTGGCTAGGTATTATTACCGAGATACATCGACTCCCTGGCTAGGTGTTAATACCGAGATACATCGACTCCCTGGCTAGGTGTTAATACCGAGATACATCGACTCCCTGGCTAGGTATTATTACCGAGATACATCGACTCCCTGGCTAGGTGTTAATACCGAGATACATCGACTCCCTGGCTAGGTGTTAATACCGAGATTTGTCGACTCCCTGGCTAGGTATTATTACCGAGATACATCGACTTCCTGACTAGGTGTTATTACCGAGATACATCGACTTCCTGGCTAGGTGTTAATACCGAGATTGGTCGACCGCCTGGCTAGGTGTTATTACCGGGATTGGTCGACCGCCTGGCTAGGTATTATTACCGAGATACATCGACTTCCTGGCTAGTTGTTAATACCGAGATACCTCGACTCCCTGGCTAGGTGTTATTACCGAGATACATCGACTCCCTGGCTAGGTGTTAATACCGAGATACATCGACTCCCTGGCTAGGTGTTAAAATACCGAGATACATCGACCGCCTGGCTAGGTGTTAATACCGAGATTGGTCGACCGCCTGGCTAGGTGTTATTACCGGGATTGGTCGACCGCCTGGCTAGGTATTATTACCGAGATTGGTCGACCGCCTGGCAAGGGATTGGTCGACCGCCTGGCTAGGTGTTATTACCGAGATTGGTCGACCGCCTGGCTAGGTGTTATTACCGGGATCTGTCGACCGCCTAGCTAGGTGTTATTACCGGGATCTGTCGACCGCCTGGCTAGGTGTTAATACCGGGATCTGTCGACCTCTTGGCTAGGTGTTATTACCGAGATACATCGACATCCTGCCTAGGTGTTACTATCGCGATTTGTCGACCTTTTGGTGTTAGGTGTTGTTGATGCATATGCACTAGGACATTAGTGTGTACGTGCAATATAAATGGTTCTGTGCGTGGGCTGCGGCTATGTGTACTGTGTATTTATGTCTGTACCTGATGTCAAGGACATCGTGTCAGTATTGCACGTAACATAATTTGTGGACACCTGTACTATTAAAACGTCATTGTCATACCTGCATTTTGTTACAGTTATTGTGCTGACCTTGATATCTCGATTAGACTTATCAAAACGAATTGAAAATATTACATTTTTGTTTCTTGTCAAGGTAAAATATTTTCTTCGTAGTACAATAACTGAAATTCTGATAATTTGAAACTTTTCGCGTCGTTTGATGAAATAAAGAGATCTATGAACCGCATACGTTCCTTCCGCACTTCCGAATCTTTTTTTACAAACAATTCCCACACTTACAATAGAGTAGAGAATGAATTTGAAATTTTATATCAGAGCAGCCCTTTCAAAATTTTCAAAAATCGCAAATGATCGAAGAAATTGAGAACTGCGTGGTATTTATGCCTTTGGCTAAACATGTGTTACCCTCTACAAGATTTTAGTGACTTGGTTCGTCGCCATTTCTTCTGTCCGTCGGTCGCCGTTTCTTCTGTCGGTCGGTCGTCGCGTGTTTTGTCGAATTTGTGTTTATGGACTTAAATCACTGATGTAGGCCTAATGGGTGTAGATCACGGGGATTTCAGTCAGCAGTTGGGCCTGGAAATCAGCTCTCACTTCAATATTTCCGTTCACGCGAAAATGGTCATCTAATCGGCTCCCCATGATGTGTCCGTCCGTAAATAATCATCTGATCAGGTCCTGTGATGTGTCCGTCCGTAAATGATCCTCTGATCAAGTCCCTGTGATATGTCAGCCATTTTATGATCATGTGATGTGTATATCACTATTTTTAGCCATTTACGACAATTATTGAACTATATTTGTCGTGGATTCTTACTTGGTTACAGGCCTATATTACCGAGGAGGAGGGTGTTTTCACGTGCTGAAAGAAAATCGATACAACTAGGTAGATGTAACATATAACTAGATATATGTAACATAACTAGATATATACTAGATAAATGTAACATACAACTAGGTATATGTAACATACAACTAGGTATATATAACATACAACTAGATATATATAACATACAACTAGGCATTTGTAACATACAACTAGATATATATATAACTAGATATATACTAGATATATATAACATACAACTAGGTATATGTAACATACAACTAGGTATATGTAACATACAACTAGGTATATGTAACATACAACTATGTATATGTAACTTACAACTTGGTATATGTAATATACAACTATGTATATGTAACTTACAATATGTAATGTCATACAACTAGATGCATGTAATATATGAATATATAACATACAACTAGGTATATGTATATACTAGGTATATGTAACATACAATATAACATACAACTAGGTATATGTAACATACAACTAGACATGTAACATACAACTAGGTATATGTAACATACAACTAGGCATTTGTAACATACAACTAGGTATATGTAACATACAACTTGGTATATGTAGCATACAACTATGTATATGTAACTTACAACTAGGTATATGTAATATACAACTAGGTATATGTAACATACAACTAGGTATATGTAACATACAACTAGATGTATGTAATATACAACTAGATGTATGTCACATACAAATAGGTATATGTAATAACTCATTGATACAAAGGTAAATAAACAACTAACGAATGGCGTTCATCGTACCACATTTTAATGAGGTATAACAAAATTATAAAAAAAAATCACGAGACGAAGCACCAGGTGGACCAGAAGTACCACTGATGACCTTCACATTCACCTGTCGACGACACCACATGCTTACTGTTTACACATTCACAATGAAAAATGGGATCCTTACATCCATTATGCTCTGAATTGCTAACCCGCGAAAATACCGCAATCACTATCTTAACTATCTAACCAATTAAATCATATCCTTTATCAGAGACCACTTAAACATATTCTGGTCCCTCTATATAATCGATCTCATAGGCTGTGCAATCAGAAAATTATCGTAAGAACTATTAACGACTTTCCGTTGTGATAACTTCAAGAATGGACAAAATATTTCTTCGTGTATGAACTACTAGTCTGTAATCTCAAAGCACTTTTATGTCAACACTTGAAGTAAATAAAATCTACACCATATTACTGAAAACATTAATTTGTTAATAAATAAGAAGATGAGCACTAGTAAACAACTAAAACTCAAACGTCATATCTACATAGAGATTCAAGTGTCCATTGTTCATCTGTCTATCTTGTTATCGCACCGGAAACAGCTTTCCTGTCCTTAGAAGACTGTACCGCCTCAGGCTGTTCTAACACAAAGAGCGCGCTCACAACTGCGACTTGTTTACAAACAAGTGCGAAGTGGGTCACCATAGCTCTCGCGACCTTCTGAGCGACCCAGACTACGTGTATCCCTCCGCCACGTACACGTAATTATTACCTGAGAAATATCGTCTGATCCACAGCTATTTATAGCCACAATGTAATAGGTATATAGTTGTTTCTATGAACTTCCTTGACTGCAGGGCCTATCCCACATTCACAGAAACATACGCTTTCTTCTAGCAATCGTTAATTAAAAAAACTTGATATTGATTGAACACAACATACGAGTAATAGCCGCTTCCTTGTACAGTCCGCTTTTCACACAAGACAGAGCAGTCGCCCACATCAAACACTCAATTTGTTAATTACTAGATATCACAAAGTTTCATGAGTCAATGTCAGATTCTAATGGAGTATCAATTTCACTCTCGTAACTGGTGTGTTGCGTTGTGAACCCTTCGCTATGCCAGTCCGATTCATCCACCGATGGAGAGCACGGTCTACATAGCACGTGCTCTCCCTTACGATCGGTCCGATCTTGTAGCCGTCTAACGGCCTCTTGAATCAATGTTTGTTCGCGTAGTAGATGTTTGAGAATCATTATAGAACTGCCGTCCGTATAGCTGCATTTACAATGTCTCTGAAAGCACTTTGAGCATTTGATAAATCCCTGAGAATGATAAACGTTTTCAGCTGCACCTGATGGTACTAGGGTCCTATTTGGTAGTGGTGATGTCTTGCGAGGAATACAATATGGTGACGGACGTACATTATGTCGCCGATCTACTTTTTCTCGACATGTTTTCATTGTGAGATTTTCCTTGAGTTTCCCTATCAAGACATCCAAATCGACTGGTACAACATTCTTGGTTGTTTCGGCATGGTTGGCTTCCGTTGGGAGACGCATCTTTCTCTGTTGAATTTCACCTAACTGATGTAAACCTTCGGTCTTCGTCTCTCGCGAACAACAACACAACGCCGGTTGTTTACCAGTGATTTGAATGAACTCAGTCTTTGTTGTTGTTATAGAGCCGAGGTCAGAAAAACTCCGCGAGGAAAAATAGGTCTTCATGTTTTCTAGAAAATTATCAGTTTGGTCCACCAAAACATCTCTAATCTGAGCTTTATCATTATGGCTTGGTCACTTATTGTATATTATGTAGTTAAGACTTTATTTCATTCTTACAGACGAATTGTTATCAAACATCGTAATTTTTTAATCGGGCTGAACATGCCCTACTCGCATGTTTACATTTACGCATCACGATCTGATTGGCTGGTTCCATTCGGTCTTGTTTGGGTAACTGGTAAATGGCGTGAATCATACTATATTGAAGTATCGACAAAAACAAGAACTTGTTTACAACGGATTTTGTTTTCCTACTGTTCGGCCTGTCTGCCAGATAACACGGAGATTTAAACATAAACAATCTCTGTAAGCAGGGACTAGTGCTACGTAATCGTACGTGTATGTTTCTGTACTCGGTGTACCGAGTCAGTAGTATCATGATATAAATAAGATGGTGTGATATCAACATTCTACTATTGATTTTTAAGGTGAATGCTAGAAATGGACAGACTCGAGAAACAACTCGGTACACACATCAACGATATGTATTGTTGTACATAGTGTTAATAACAGACGGGATTGGCAACAATGGCTTATTGATGCGATCGAATTGTAATACATTTATGTACATATCTTATACAAATTAGTATGGTAACATACAATACATCGTGTTATAATGTGAGTGTTACAGACCACTTTTACTACCATCATAAAGCTATGTTATCACAAGAGTACATTTGTACAACAATGTATAATAAACATGGTATACACAGTTATACATAACGGTACATTAGTACAACAATGTTTAATCAAGCTACGTATAAAAGTCCCTGATTAATATACTTTATTACAAAATCTATACACAGTTATACAAAACAGTACATTGATACAACAATGAATGATCAACATATGTATATTACGGGTCTTTAATTTACACACTTTATAATAAATTTATATACTTTTTTGCAAAACATTAAACCTTAAACAGACCTAGATTACATATTGTCATATATATAATTGAAACAACTTGACAGAGCGGAGACGATTAAGATGGATCTAATTTTAGTAGTGCTTTTTTCTGTGCACCATTGTTGATATTGCACCATTTTCGGAAATCCCCGCCCGTCTCGGATGTGACACAACGGTATAATGTCGCAATATTAAATGTATATGGGTCACTTATAGTCACGTGCAATAATTGTGTCCTACTTAGACGTCTAATGTTTTCTCCTGAATGTCACCGACTGGTTCTTATCTCATCATGTTTCAACCATCCACCCTATAAAAATTATCGAATATTTTATCATTTACATTCTGAGGGGGTAAATACTCCGGCGAGCAAAGACCTGTTTAATGACCTTGAGCTAGGTCTTGCCACCAGGAATATAGATGACAGAGTTCAAAATAAAGAGAATCACGGACTTGAACTGTGTATATGATAGATTCTAAGTCCGTGACAGAATGTATCAACATATGAATTATATACAATCTTATTTACTTCCTTTTGAACGCGTGTTAACTTCACGTGTGCCGGTAAGTCACATGTCGAAAGAAACACACGTGTTAAGTGTATGCACTAGTTCGAGGAAGACCTAATTATGCATACCTGACAAAGTGACACTAAGATGTATATATAAATGTTTATGACGTCATTGCCAACCTTTAGGGCAAAGTCCACAGAACTGTTTCAGACTACACACGTATAAAGATTTTTTTCAAAATGTATATTACTATTTTGATCAAGTACTCCTAACGTGAATCCCTTTAATAAGTCTTCACGTGTGTATGTTCCGAGAACGTGTATAAAATGCGGTAAATTGTCTGTATGTTAGTAACGACCGGACTTTCGAGCCGGTGTCGGCCATTTTTACCGAATTCCTGTCATACTCGATATGGAAATTACCACTAAGTTAATAATACATGATTACTATGAGTAGTTTGACGGCAACAACTGACGAATTAGTACACAACAGAAATGTGAAATACATTGTACATAGCAGTGCAATCATCATAAGTATTGAGAATAAAAGTAGAGATAATATGTTTCAGCCTTCATATTCATTTAACATGAAGAACTTTCGTTGTATCTGAAATGTTTCAGTATTCCTGCAATGTAAAATGAAAACAATTTTACGAATATTTAGTGATTGTTTGTATATGCCCGTGTAATGAAATGCGTCCGGTTCTTTTATTATTATTTAATATCTTTAATTCATTAGACCTGGTTTTAGCTCCTCACAAGCTTTAGACCGGTGAGCTGGAGTGGTTTATTCGCACGACATTACACTCGAGAACAGGTGCTCGGCACTAGAACATAGATTCCTGTCATAATACCAGATACTAGTTGGATGATATTGATTTCCTGGAGATCGATACCTATACAATGTATATTGATGTAGTAATATTAGCGGTAGTAGTATAACATAAAGCGGACATCTGCTATATCATAACCAGACTAGTATGTGTTGATAACCAGGAACATAACTTTCTCAGTTAACACTCGTCAATTTTGAGGCCTACAGGGTAATCTGGTATTTCAGCATTAACAATGAGGCATTATTCCTTGAACACAAACGCATAAATGTTTATCATACTAAAAGTGAGGTGCTTACACCTCTCGATACTCGTTAATAAACAAAGCTGTTGCGCTTCATTTAAATATGAACCAAATCGTTATTACGACATTTCCATGTCATTCCCGACAGCTCTGGGCAATTGAACTACTTTTATTGAAATTGAGTGAGATGATGTCGCTTGACGAAGTAAGGTTACTTATCGGTTTCAATTCCTATCATATATTATCAGTCTCAGAGAAAACACCATTAGTATGTGTCCAAATTATTTCAATTTCCAGACGTCAAAAGCATTAGCGACATCTACGAGAGGAGATTGTCAAAATAGTTTAAAACATGTTCTGTATTCTTCAAACTGAAGACAGAAGTGCGATGTACAGTACCATCCCATTACGGCCTGAGGACCTCGCGCTGACCGGATCTTAATACTTGTTTTTTTTTGTAGCAAACTGACATGCTAGTACATACATGTTAGTCCTCAGTATTACCAGGACATAATACGCCTTTACGGGGACCAGCCATGACAATAAGAGATTAAGTTGATTTGTTTGTGTATAATCCGCCAGTTTTGTTTACTAGAACTTTGGTACATATAAGACATTATAATTGTTTGTGTTTACGACTGAATAGCGAGTCTCGAATGATCTATGTTATACACAGCTGTTTCTGGATTAAGATGACCATGTTTACGTTTGGTATCGGACGTAATTGTATCGGTGGCAAGGTTTACGTTTGGTATCCGACGTAATTGTATCGGTGACGAGGTTTACGTTTGGTATCGGGCGTAATTGTGTCGGTGGCTAGGTTTACGTTTGGTATCCGACGTAATTGTATCGGTGGCAAGGTTTACGTTTGGTATCCGACGTAATTGTATCGGTGGCGAGGTTTACGTTTGGTATCGGGCGTAATTGTATCGGTGGCGAGGTTTACGTTTGGTATCGGGCGTAATTGTATCGGTGGCGAGGTTTACGTTTGGCATCGGGCGTAATTGTATCGGTGGCGAGGTTTACGTTTGGCATCGGGCGTAATTGTATCGGTGGCGAGGTTTACGTTTGGTATCGGGCGTAATTGTATCGGTGACGAGGTTTACGTTTGGTATCGGGCGTAATTGTATCGGTGTCGAGGTTTACGTTTGGTATCGGGCGTAATTGTATCGGTGGCGAGGTTTACGTTTGGTATCGGGCGTAATTGTATCGGTGGCGAGGTTTACGTTGGTATCCAACGTTATTGTATTGGTGACGAGGTTTACCTTTGGTATCCTACGTTATTGTATTGGTGACGAGGTTTGTCTTTGGTATCCGGCGTAAATATATTGGTGACGAGGTTTAGGGCAATCTTCTTAATATGCTCCTCCATAGACTAACGTCTTTATCTACTGCTCCATAGATCTACCTCTCCATATACTACTCCTTATATCTACCTCTCCATATACTGCTCCATAGATCTACATCTCCATATACTGCTCCTTATATCTACATCTCCATATACTGCTCCTTAGATCTACATCTCCATATACTGCTCCATAGATCTACCTCTCCATATACTACTCCACAGATCTACCTTCCATATACTGCTCCTTATATCTACATCTCCATATACTGCTCCTTATATCTACCTCTCCATATACTGCTCCTTATATCTACCTCTCCATATACTGCTACTTATATCTACCTCTCCATATACTGCCTCTTAGATCTACCTCTCCATATACTGCTCCTTATATCTACCTCTCCATATACTGCTCCTTATATCTACCTCTCCATATACTGCTCCATAGATCTACCTCTCCATATACTGCTCCTTATATCTACCTCTCCATATACTGCTCCATAGATCTACCTCTCCATATACTGCTCCTTAGATCTACCTCTCCATATACTGCTCCATAGATCTACCCCCCATATACTGCTCCTTGGATCTACCTCTCCATATACTGCTCCTTATATCTACCTCTCCATATACTGCTCCATAGATCTACCTCTCCATATACTGCTCCTTATATCTACCTCTCCCTCTCCATATACTGCTCCTTATATCTACCTCTCCATATACTGCTCCATAGATCTACCTCTCCATATACCTGCTCCATATCTACCTCTCTCCATATATATCTACCTCTCCATATACTATATCTACCTCTCCATATATAGATACCTCTCCATATACTGCTCCTTAGATCTACCTCTCCATATACTGCTCCATAGATCTACCCCCCATATACTGCTCCTTGGATCTACCTCTCCATATACTGCTCCTTATATCTACCTCTCCATACACTGCTCCTTATATCTACCTCTCCATATACTGCTCCATAGATCTACCTCTCCATATACTGCTCC